ATGTGGGTATGGGGGAGGGTAGTGGATATGGAGGGCATGGATGGGGATGTGGTATGGAGGGCATGGAGGAGTAGTATGGAGGGCATGGGGGAGGTGTGGACATGGCCAGGCATGGAGGAGGGTGTGGGTGTGGAGGGCATGGGGGAGGTGTGGGTATGGAGGAGGGTGTGGGTATGGAGGGCATGGAGGGAGGGGTGTGGGTATGGAGGGGCATGGAGGAGGGTGTGTGGGTATGGAGGGGGCATGGAGGAGGGTGTGGGTATGGAGGGCATGGAGGGAGGGGTGTGGGTATGGAGGGCATGGAGGAGGGGGTGTGGGTATGGAGGGCATGGAGGGCATGGGGGTGTGGTGGGGTATGGAGGGCATGGAGGAGGGAGTGTGGGTATGGAGGGCATGGAGGGGGTGTGTGTGGGTATGGAGGGCATGGAGGAGGGGTGTGGGTGTGGAGGGCATGGAGGAGGGATGTGGGTATGGAGGGCATGGAGGAGGTGTGGGTATGGAGGGCATGGAGGAGGGGTGTGGGTATGGAGGGGGCATGGAGGAGGGGTGTGGTGTGGTGGAGGAGGGGTGTGGGATGGGGGCATGGAGGAGGGGTGTGGGGTATGGGGGGGGGAGGAGGGTGTGGTGGGGGGATGGAGGGAGGGTGTGGGTATGGAGGGCATGGAGGAGGGGTGGTGGGTATGGAGGGCATGGAGGAGGGTGTGGGCAGGAGGAGGGGGTGTGGGAGGAGGGGTGTGGGTATGGAGGGCATGGAGGGGGGTGTGGGTATGGAGGGCATGGAGGAGGGGTGTGGGTATGGAGGGGCATGGAGGAGGTGTGTGTGGGGAGGGCATGGAGGGAGGGGTGTGGGTATGGAGGGCATGGAGGAGGGGGTGTGGGTATGGGAGGAGGGCATGGAGGAGGGGTGTGGAGTGGATGGAGGAGCATGGAGGAGGGGTGTGGAATGGAGGGGAGGAGGGGTGTGGGTATGGAGGGCATGGAGGAGGGTGGGGTATGGAGGGCATGGAGGAGGGGTGGGGTATGGAGGGGCATGGAGGAGGGGGTGGGTATGGGGGCATGGAGGAGGGGTATTGGAGGCATGGAAGGAGGTGAGGAGGGATAAGGAGGAGTGAAGGACATCACTAATGTTCACATTTACTTACTCTGTTCTGGTGATTGTGAGGTGATTTTTGCCTTTTGTGGTGTGTGTGTGTGTGTGTGTGTGTGTGTGTGACTGTAAAGTGCTTTGGCCAGTTGATGACCATCATTCATGTGGATAGTTTACATCGTAAATAAGGGGGTGGTCTTAATACATCACCATCTTTAACGCGGAATATCATACAAGGATAATTGCATGCAATATAATGTACACACACACACACACAGGCTCACATGGTTCCCTGGACATCATTTACTGCACACTATCATTGGAGAGTCTGCAGGCAGGGAGAGGAGCCATTGTACACCCCACGTCAGCTCTGCAAATTTGCAGCTGACAATCTCTTTATGGAAATGGGATTTTTGACCATTGCTTCACATTCCCTCGGTATAGAGAGTCTATATGTGTGAGGGAAGACAATGAGATAAAAACGTTTGGGGCTGTGGTGGCACTTATGGTCCGCATAGACTCATCAGATAAGCATCACACTGTATACAGTATATTCTATTCTTAAAATCAGTATGAAGTGCTTCACTAAGAAGCCGTGTACAGTATATAATACTAGACGATACACACAAATTTAGAATGGTATAAAGCCCTAAACAACTGGCATGTTCAAGTAGTATATTTGACCTCTATGACTTACAATAATAAGAACCAGAATGGATCCCACTGAGTACAAATCCATTATCATCAATGAAGCACAACAGAAGAAAGGAGACTTGCTTAGCTCACTGCTCACTGAACACAATTATGTTGAATTTGCATGAGAAAAATACATAATATACCAGTACCAACAAAGCAATTTTTCAACATGTATATGTAGATTCATGATCTCCCATTGACAAGAATTATGCAGCACATACTTAAGAGCATTAATGAGTATCCCTGAAGAAGCAGGAGTATGTAATAAAAACAATATACTGGTACCACTTGAATATTGATCTTGGCTTACTCATGGCCACCCAACTGTAACCCTTACATCTTGTGGTATCTACATCACACTTTCCTCTGTAAAAACACCCAGCTCTAAGGGTATTTAAACCCAAGACTGTATACATGTATGTCTGTAAATTCTATACTTGTCTTACAGTAACAGATATGCAGAAGCCATTCCATAGTAGAGGAGAGAATTCTCCTATACTGTTGTTTATATACATAAATACAGATTACAAAATATAAAGGAACAGGACAAAAATCACAATAAAATGGCAGAGACAAATATTCAAATGACAACAAAGATGAAACTTATATAATTTGAACAGTTGCATCACAGGCTGTATGTGAAGACACAACGGTACTCTGTAAAACTAGAGTCTATATGTACAGTAAGATATGGTGACTTCCAGCCCCTGAATGTAAAGTGACAGAAGTTTATATTAAAAAAAAATAAAATAAATAAAGTATTTTTTTTAAAACTACCAATTGATGATAAACAAAGCTGCTATATAATAATATTTAAAACATACAGAAAATTTGTAGTATAAAGAGCAACATACAGCCATTATATAATAAATTTGTGCCACATCTGTATATTGCCAGGTGGAGATCTCTGCCACAATTCCATATAAAAATTAGGAACTCACTAACCACTTGTATTTGTGATGAGTAGCAATTCATAATTGTAAGGGCATACCTATTACATACTTTCCCAGTGATGGTTGAAACATACATAATGATGCCATACACATCTAAGCTGCACCTTGTCACAGAACTTTTAATTGCTGCCTAAACAATTAAAACATTTGAGGTAACCCATTGCAAGCCATCTGTTACTATCACATGTTGGGATCATCCTCAGAGATAATCTTGATTAACTTTATTTGGGATCACAAGATTGACTACTTTATGCACAAAAACAAATAACTTTCTGTCAATCATAAAAGTGAACCTGGTTATGAGATAAAAAAAATCCTCCCACCATAAAAAATCCGATCCATATCATATACGGCCATATTCAAGATCGTGCAGTTTAGGGTATCCCTTAAGGGAATCATTACTGTACTGTAAGGAATGCCTACACTGTCTGTATAATGCATATTCTAGATTACTCAAACATTGTGTCTTGCTCCAAGGCAGCCAACATGAAAAAAGAGTTGGACTTTTTTACTATTGATATGCTTATACAATATTACCATTAATATAAATTTGCATGAGAAATATCATAAAGAATTTAATCAAAATTAAATTCTACAGAAGAAAAACCCATTGTCATCCTAACTTAACAATTAATGAATAATTTTAAAAATTTACCAAGGAAAACTTTGGATCAGGTGTGTGGATTAACGAGCAACATTAGGAAACTTTTCAATACCCGGTAGATGGAAATGTTCACCTTTTCTCACGAACATTGCAAATATTGTGAAGGAGTTAAGTTTTACCTAACCAAAAATAAAAACCAAAAGAAACTTAGGAACAAAACCTAATGATTCACATATCAGGATACTGTAATGTACATGACCGTTCAACCTAACTTAATATCCCAAATATCCCAGTTATGTAGCCTCCAGTTGGCTCAGCCAAGAATTCCCAGCTAAATAGTCACTTTCAATTAAATTAACTGGTGTATAACATCCATCCTTGTGCATAAGATAAATTTTGGTTCACCATTTTGAAATTTTGGAAGCTGACAGCCTCAGTACATTTCCTGGTGTATGAAAGTAACGTTGATTCATTTGCATCAATCATGCCCAAAGAAATTTATATAATTTCTTCAAATATAAGTCTAGTATTGTACCTGTAAATTACAACTTAAAAAAAATACAGAAATTGCCCTTCAAGCAGCAAACGATCATCTGGATGTTCCGTTATGAGAGTTGTTAACGAAATCACTTCAAGAAATAAGATAGACTTTAACTACCAGTGGTGTTACTAAAAATTTGACAAATTTCTGTCATTATATATACAGTGGTCCCTCAATTAATGAGCACAATTGGTTCCAAAGAGTCAGTCGTTAACTGAAAATTTCTTCAACTGAATCTATTATTTCAATGGGATATTGGGTAATTGGTTCCAACTCACAAAAAAAGTACATACAATGTACTGTATACCGGTAATAGAATAAACAAAACATTAAATATTAACAAAATACAATACTGTACAGTATACTATACAGTAATAAATAAAAAACATTAGAATAGTGTACAGTACTGCATTTTAACTTACTTTGAGGCGTGTATGTCGTATTCCCGGAGGCTTTGTTTACATAGCAAACAGCTGACTGTAGAGGCAGTTGATGATGACATGCCATATTCTTTACAGAGTGCATTGGTTCTAATGCCATCTTCGTATTTCTTAATTTCTGCACTGTATATTATCAATAAGCTAACTAAATTTCAGAATGACCAATAATTTTAATACTGTACTGTACTATAAGAAATGCAAAAAATATTCAAGAGCACAACTTTCTCGATATTTACTCCACTGGAACCAAATGTAAACATAGAACCGATTACTGTATTGGCGGACTGGTCGATCAGCTGATGCGTGCACCAAAGCGTGTTTCTCGTAAGGCTGTCGTTAATTTGGTATCAAGTTGTACTCATTAATAGAACTGAAAATCCTTATGGGAGCGAATTCGTCAACCGAAATCTCATAAACTGAATACCAACCATAGGCATTGCCTACAAGGATACCCTGCACTTCACATTCTTGAATACAGCCATTAGTTGTGATAATCTAACATTGATGCAGTTTACATGTTTCGGTAATTTTCTTTGGTAGAATTTTTTTTTTTGCTAGTTCACCATTTTTTAATATATATATATATATATATATATATATATATATATATATATATATATATATATATATATATATATATATATATATATATATATATATATATATATATATATATATATATATATACACACACACATTATAACAAGGGAAAACTTTTAAAATTTTGTGAATTCAATATATGACAAATGCATAAATAAAGCTGATGAATTACAAACAATATTTATGAACATTACGTAATCAAAACCACTTATTAATCCCAATTTATCAAAGCTATTCATTCAATCTAACTGATTCTCTCATTCCTGCACGTGTGAAGTTCTTTGCCATGATTCTCCATTTAATAAATACTGTTACTGTGGCACAGTAGTATTGGAAATACATTTTTCAAAATTCACATGAATTGTGAAAAATTCCAAGCAAAGTTAAAAAGATCTGAATGGAGACATTTTAATAAAATACATTTTATTATCTCTTTCAACAAAGTTGATAAAAATTCAATGATCTTTAAGAAATGCACCTGCTCATCACAGACACATAAGTTTTTGCACATAAATAATATTACTCAATACATTTGATTATAACTCAAACTTATATCCGCCATTTAAAATGAGTTTAAAAAAATACTAAAACCTTACCTAATAATCTGATAGCTGCATTTTATGGAACGCCGTGACAAACATAAAACATGCAGTCACGGCCCTTCCGCCCATAATTTACACACTGCTCCTGTCTTCTGTTCCCTTAACACTCTTTAGGATCCTTACCATTCCTGTTTTTTTGACAGAAAAGATAAGGTGAGCTAATAAGCAATACTTATTCCATTTTTCATTAGTTGATTTGATTCAGACCCAAAAGATGAACTTCCTGGTGAACCCACCAATGGAGTCTTAATATATCACAAAACAATGACAACTAATGACTTCAAGTACAGTACAAGGCTCAAGAACTGACTTTTTTTTTATACTTACTGTAGCCTACAAGTCATAAACACAATTCTAATACAAAGTTGCATAAACCAGTTGCAGAGTCAGCTACAGTATCTTGAAACTCCACAACCAAAATTGCCATCTGTGTCAAATTATTGCATACGAATCTGTAGAAATGCAATACTTGGAAGTCACTTTAAAGTTATGAAAATCCTTTTTCAGTAATTTGCACTTTTAAAATTGGATTACCTTCAACATTAAAGTCATCTTTTTTTCACAACAATAGGAAATAACTATTGTATGTTGTCAAACACTTGTAGCTTTGATTTTCAACTTGACTATGCAAAAAAAAAAATAAAAAAAAAATATTTTTGCAACATATTCCTTGCATTGACATCAAAGCCAGATTGCTAAAAAAAAACATGCATATACCAAGAGCTCTCACTGTATTTCATATTCTTGTGTTTTCCATAAAACTGAAGACCACTAGAGAGAATACAGCCAGATAGAGCAAAATTGTTAAATTTTCACTACCAATCTTACATAGGTTCACATCTTCAATTTCCCCTTAGAGGTACAGACAGAATTCTTGCCTGACTTGTTATGACTTTTGAAGATGAAGCGATGAAACACATGTGTCTCATACTAAATGTCACTGTCATTTTTCTTGGCCACCTGCTGTTCTAAGCAATAGCAAAACCTGAATAATGTTATCACCCACTTTAGCAGCTATTTTGATGTATTCATGAACTGATTTGTGTTCAAAGACCTGGTATCCTCCCATACGACCACTTTTGATAATGTGGGAAAATACCTCGTGAAATAATGACAGGTACGAAATCTTATCTTGAATAAATTATTAGAGAATATGATGAACTGTGAACGTGAGTAACATTAACTTGTGCTGCACTGTATGTAATTACTGGTACACTTAAAAAAATATATTATTGGAGCTCATAAGTTATTCCACTATTATCATTACCACTACTTAAATTTCATTACAATGCCTTGGTTTATACGGATTAAAAACCAAAATCTAGGGAGGCCATCTTAGAAGCAACAAGAAGCAGTTTATTGCAACATCATTTATGCTGATAACATTAAGCGGCTTCACCGATATTTGACACAGTTTCCACTGAGATTTAAGCTCGGGCTGTGGTTGTCTGGGGCCCACCTTCAATGTGACTAGCTGCGGTCACTAAACTGGTAACCTTGAATGTCCTCCTCTGGAAAGAAGTGAAGAACATTTTTAGTGAAATACTGCATACCAAGCTGAAAATCTACACATGATTAGTGTCAACTGAACAAACATGTTGAGATATTGACTAATATTTATTCAAGTCAGCAAACAATGTGCTATTTAAAAATATTATGGAATATGCAGATACAGTATAGGTAATATAGAAAAAAATCAAATATATACAAGTAATCTCCCCATTAGCTGGAATTCCTGGTCTCTTGGAACTCTCCAATAGCTGGAATGGATTTTGAGCCTTCCAGGAAATTCCAGGAAACTCTCTATGGTCTGGGCATGGGAACAAATTTTCCGTGAGTTCCAAGAGATTGCATTAGGTCTCTATGTGCTGGGTGCTTGGGTAACTTAATCCATAGGCTCATGTGCCAATGTACAAGGTTATTTCCCTTGGTCGCTGCTGTTTTTGTATACAACTTGTGTTGTGCAGTACTGTACATTACTGTACCAAGACATACTCGGCCAAAAATAGTGTTAAAGCAGTGTTAAGACATAAAAAGTGATTAAAGTTATGTAAACTGAACCATACATTCAGCAGAGTGGACAGTATATAATCTACTGCAGGCTAGTATGCAGAGGTGTTTGTGCCAGGAATTTTGGAATAGTGATTTATGAATACACATTGGTGGTAGGACTGCAGATCCCATGGTAATACGCTAAGTAAAAATACGAGAACCTTCTCCATTGCAGCTAATAAAAATACCACGGCTACACTATTAAAATTCTGAAGAAAACTACATATGATTACTGTTTAGTTTATATAATGGGAGTAGTCTATGACCTATTTCATGGCATATCCTGGTATAATTGAATAACAAAGGGATTATATGATTTAAACCGTGTTATTAACCATTACTGACGACTGATGATGTCGCAAGTCGTCCCAATACACGTGATAACTCGAGTTTACTTACACCGTCATAAGATGCAATGGCCAAAACATTGTCCGAACTGAATTGCACTTGCATATTAGTACCAGTGACAACACAGATTTAGATAGTCTAAATTGTACTCTAAGATATAACAAATATGTGTTCCTTAGCTTATAAAATGGTACAATAGATCATTTGGACCCCATGGGCTTCTTAGAATGAATTCTGTCATGATGACTTCTAAGTCTTAAGATGCACGATTAATATAAGGTGAATTACTGTTTTAAATTGGTTGATATAAGTTACTAGAACATCTGGTGGTTGGCGGGTCTTCCTTGCCCGAGGCTCAGTGTCTGGTCCATTAAGGGTTGGTTAAGGCCTAATTTAAATTATCTCCTAAACTATAAATTATAATTGTTTATATTCAGTAAACTTATTATTTCATTACGAAGTAGGTTTTTATTAAATTTGGTAATTAAGCAAATCGTAGTTTAAAAGATTTATAAATTTCCATTTTCAACCAAATAAGTTCTCTAATTGCCCATTCATTTCACGGCATATTTAAACACTTACAGTACTTTGTTAGCACATTTGAATAACTAGGATTATAAGGTTATATACAACTTAATATTCCAATACATACTTAGTAATAAGAAATATGTACAATTATATATACAGTCTTGTTCAAGATTCTTCGAACACTGCTGGCACCTCAAGGCCGTTTGTTTACTATAGTACGTAGTATAATATAATTAAAAACAACAAAGCCCAATCATTAAATTAAGCAATGGGGAATTTTGTAACCGATTACTTTTACACTTATTCACAATTTTTACTACATACTATATTAAACAAACAGCCTTGAATTGCCACCTGTCTCCAGCAGTGATCGAAGAATCTTAAACGAGACTGTACATACATCACAATACTTTTCGCGACATCATGTATAATATACAGTGCGTGTAAAATCCTTCCTTCATGGAGGGAGAGGAGAGTAACAGTTAGTAACACCTGCTACAGTAGATGGTACAGGACATAGGCTTGCCAGCATCACAAGCTCAAGACAACAGTATCTGCTGGCGAGTACAGTTTGTTTATTTATATAGTGTCTATTTAGTATATTTAGTTTATTTACAACATATTGTATGTGTACAGTGGTTTTTGTCCATACAAGATGCAGAGCTTTGACTCTTGGAAAACTTTCTCCAGCACCCAGTAACATTCCGGGAATGTGTGATAGTGTCTGTCCGTGCAAGATGCATTGTTTAGACTCTCAAAAAACTTACCCAAGTACCTGGAAAAATTCTGGGGATGCAGGATATTTTCCGGGGATGAGAAATTTATGCCAATACCTGGAAATTTCTCATTCCTGGAAGAGCTAATGGGGATATCACTGTTGTACTGTAATGTCTTTTGGCTTTGCATGATTGCCCTTTCAATTATGTTCAGAAGATTATTTATAGTACGATATAATATTCAATACTGTAAATCGTCTCTGGATATACTGTACTTGAGACACAAGAAATTAATAAAACCTATTGAAGATTGGTAAGAATCAAAACTGTTAAATTCTTCATGTGTAATCTATAATTTGCAATTTATAGAAAAAATCACTAAATATAATGTATTTAAAGAAGAGAATTCTTTTCATTGAATATCATTCAATGAAAACAATTCTCTACTAGAAATCTGCTTAAACAGTACAGGGGGTCCCCGACTTACGAATGCCCGCTGATACGAACTGGGTTAAAGTTGAAATTTACAGTATTTTATTTACCTGATGACTTATTTTTACTTTCATTTACTGTATCTTGTCATTCTATTTCTTCTTTTGACTTAATTTAAGTGATTTTAGTTGTATATAAGGACTTAGGCTATGATATACTGGGATTAAAAACATTGTTCTGCAAGTAAGGTATGCACATAGCATGTGTTCCGACTTACGTACAAATCCGACTTAAGAGCATCTTCAGGAATGAATTTGTTCGTAACCCGGGGACCCCCTGTATAAAACTGTATATCTTCAAGACTGGTGCCACAATATACAAAAATTGTTGGGACTGATGATAATGAGGGTACAGAAAAATATGGCAAGAATAAATGACCAGGATCACATAAAGGGAAGTGAGTACAGTATACATGTTTGGTGGTGGTTTACCATCAGGATTTTGGATTATCTGAAAAGGGGAAGGAGTGGGTGGTGGTGTAAAGTGGAGGACAACAGACACTATACCTGACCTGAATTATCTCTCTTTTAGGGGGAGAGGAGGGAGATAGATATTTATGGTTTCTGTTTTAAGATCATTATGGTATCTATATTTCATACTTACTAAGCCATGATAACTATATTTCTAGCCTTATTAAAGCTAGTATGTCTGGTTTGAGCAACGTTAACAAGCCATCACACACGCCAAGTAGCACTTCACCAAATTTAGAGATAAAATAATTAAAGATTAAATGACATTACAGAGATTTAGACAATTATTTTAAACAACTCCAATATGGCCTTCCAATATACAAAGGCTACTATAGTACTAATCATCATAAAATACTAAATTAACCAAACTTCCACATAATTCATTTAAGGCAAGAAATAAAACAAGGTTTAAAAAAGCCAACCAAATACAGATACAGGATAGTACAATTCCTACATCCCCTGAATACCTGTTTGTTCAGGTGGATAATAATGTTTAAATTATGAAATTACAGTAAACCCCAGATATAACGGACTAATTGGGGGGAAAGCCAGTCCATTAAAGCCGAAGGTCCAGTATATAACAACATATTCTGAAGTGGCCATGTGGGTCACTTTTCACCACCACCAATAAACACCATATCACCACCAACACTCATCATCACCACTAGCATTCACCACCCAGTTGCAGGATGCAAATGCATTCAAACTGGGGTGACAGAATGGCAGTTTGCAGCTGAGCAGAATAAACGAAGTCGCTCTACAATACTACATGTTAGTAATACGTACAGTACTGGTTGGTTGTAAGTCATGGGGGGGGGTGAATGAGTAATAATGACTGCTGCACTGTCAGGTGCAAGTGAACAGCTGACTTGACTAGTACATATTATGGATTTTCATACTTTTTTTCTTGCAAAAAATAACTTGGGGTCACAGACATTCACTTTAATATGCGGAAATCAGTCATATAAAGTGCAAGCATGTCAAGTAAGTTGAATGCTATCATGAAAATTTTACACAAGGAGGGGAGTGCTGATTGGCTGTGAGAGTACATGGGTATGCCACTCTCATTGGCAGAGAGACTGCAAACAAGTACAGTATGGCTGCTGTAGGAGAGTCCTGAGTATTCTGTCTTTTAACTTCTACCTTGTATTATGGCTTTCATTTATTTATTTATTTATTTTATAAATAACCCCAGGAGAGGATCAAAGAGCTCTATAATGAATCAGCATTATGCAGGGTAGGGCTAAATGGAGGTATTGTCGCAATATTTGTATATGAATGGACGCGAGTCCATCATTTTTTACTTTAACGTCCAGATTCCATGATACTGTATGAAACTGGTCAGTGTGTCCGTTAAAGCCTTGGTCCGTTATATTGGGAGTTTTCTGTGTAAATTAATTTATCCACATACAATGTTTTGTAATTTTTTACTCTAATCTGAACAAATCCATCATAAAATTCAAGCCAAAACATAATGTGAAGTGATAATAAATAATAATTTTCGAATGTTAACTGTTTTCCTTGAAACCAATAATAATGTTTACATATGACTTTCATGTCATAAAGCAAATCTGTTACTTTTCACTGAAAGATACGATCATGTAAAGAATTATTTCTTGTAAATTATTCTTATATTCATGCTAATCTAAGCATCATTCAAATGTGACATTTTTAGACTGTAAGTCGATACAGTACCAAAGGAATAACACGGTTAACAAAATTATGATTTTTAAGCTCAAACCCACAACCAAGGAGTGAAAAAAAGTAATGAAGGGGCATGGAGTTAATGTATAATAAACTGAACTTAAAAAAAAAAAAAAAAGCGCACACACACACACAAATTAGAACAATTTCGTTTTTCAGCTACTACAGATATGAACCCTAAAATCTGGAACCCTGGGAACCATGATCAAACTGGCTTTAAAGAATTTATGGGTCTTAAGTTGGGATAAGTTTTCTTTCCTGGGGTCAACCATCTGTTACCCTAGGCCTACCAGTATATTAGGTTCAAGTTTTGCTTTCACACACACTCTCAAACTCAGTTTGACATTTATTTTACTTCCTACACAATACAATAAAGAAATTCTTATTGTATTAAACAGAGTATGTAGGTAGGCCTGCATAGCACCAGAATAAGCTAATTTACTTACCTTAGCATCTAATGGTACATTTTAAGCTATAATACAAAAAATCAATGCTATAGTAAGCAATTTCTATTATGAAGATGATTTGTATGGACAAAGGGTTATATGTTGGTAAAGGAAACGCATACTCAGAGATAACTTTATTTCAAATATTTTGTTGGAGGACTTTATGAAAGAAATGAACATGAGTGTCCACCAGACACTTATTATTCTAATCCTGATCTCAAGCTTGTCCACTCGTTGGTCTGTTTTCGTTCATCACCTATTTGACAAATCAGGTGACACCTAGTGTGGTCCTAGGCCATGCTTCCTGCCTTGCTGTTTATGTTTGGTTTGAGAGTGACATATGCTTCTATTGTCTTCCTTTGTGAAGTATCATGGCCTCCTTAAATGTTCTTATTTTAATAAAGTCCTTCTCAACGAAACATTAGAAATAAAGTTCTCTCTCCAAGTCTGTACATCCTTTGCTACCATATAAATAAAACCTCTTACAGTATACTTAGTCTTCACAGGTATTTGGCACACTACAGTATAATAATTTAAAATTTTTTCCAGTTTACATCCCATTAGCTTCTCATGAGTCACAAGACTCTGCAAGAGGAATACTTCATAAATAAATATAGTCTGATTACATAAATAGCCCAATACCCTAATTACCTGTATTTTTATTAAGAACTAACCCCATCAAACAATTGGTTTCCCACAGAATGCTAATACTACTTCAGGGAAATACGACTTTTGGCTACTATATGTTATCCAGCTGCCTCCCAACACCTACCCCCCAATAGTTCCATGACCACTAGGCGACGTTCACACCCAATGGTCCCTCCCCACGTCATAAAATCTTATCCTTAAATGTCTTGCACAAACCTCAGTCACCCATGGAAATGATCATCCTCCCATCAATGATTCATCTTTTACCATATTACCATATTCACCCATTAACAGTCAGCTTTGTTTTGTTCTATCAATAAATGAATGCTTTATCCTTTTTTACCTCTGTTATTACCAGTAACTGTGTCTTTCTCACTACCACCATCGTTTTACTGCCATTTACCATGTTCGCATGGGTTATGGTATGGTTCCAATTGGGCAAATTTGAAGCAAGTTTTATGGATTGATGCCCTTTTTATCACCAACCCACTTTCACCGAGTGGAAACTGAGTATACTATGTAGGAGTTTTAAGTACAGTACCATCTTAGCTGGCAAACCAGGGTCATAACTCCTTGAGGTAATCAAAGATTTCCTGCCAACCTGGATCCCTTTACCAGATGGCAGCTCCCAGAGCTTGACCATCATATTCTTTCTGACTTTTCTTAATTATTGTGGTTATGAAGTAAATGCTTGAAGTGATAATCCTCATAATTTCCATGCATTCACCAACCCAAAATTTTGATTTTTCAGTTCATATATCAACTGCTACTGCAATCTATAATGCCTGAGGGCATGGCAATGGTCTGTAGCTGAAATATTGGCAGAAGGTTTTACATACTGACCTAGCCATCCTATAAATGGGGTTTCTGTAGAGGTTAGCAGTATGCAAGCTGTGTTTGTGCATTGTTTGTATGATTAGCAATATGCATAATTCATTCTGTTTGTGAGAAGGTAAAAGAAAACCAAAAATAAACATGAAAGTCAGAGTTGCTTTACAGTGTGAATAAAGGTTTTCTATAGGTTCAAGCTCACTGCAGAAGTAAAGGGTTACCAAGGTGTTATAAGTGTGTAAAGAAAAGGCCCCCAAAAAATAAAAAAACCAAAACAAATCAAACTGTTACATACTAACCAAACAAAGTTTCAAACAGAATCAACAAAAAAGTTGCAGGGGTTGTCCATGGCCATGTTGAAACTGTTGGTACTGGCAGCCAGGTCAGGACTCATCTGTTCCACAGGACGGGAAGGCGGAGCTGGATGTGGCTGGCTGGACTGAGGAGGAAGGGAATAGGCTGGTGGAGGGGGATGAGGGTGGCTATGTGGAGGGAGAAGAATGCCTGGTGTATGTGGATGGGTGGTATGAGGGGGAGGAATGCCTGGTGGATGTGGATGGATAGTATGAGGAGGAGGGTGGGATGGAATAAGAGGAGGTAATCCTTTTGTATGAGAGAGATGGGCTGGAGGATGTGAAGGGTACGATGGAGGCACACCTGTTGGGTGCTGAAGAGTGGGATGTGACAGAAGTGGCTGTTGTGGTGGTTGTTGGGACAATGTGGTGGCAGTTGATCTCTCTGAACCACTGGAACCTCCCCCAGTGCCTCCACCACCACCTCCTCCTCCACCACCTCCACCACCACCACCAACACTGCCACTACCAGAGCCACCTCCACCACTCCCTAACCGGCGCGCGCTACGCTGACTTGCTTCACTGTCGCTTCCACTCTGGGCTGGAGAGGCAGATTTTCGTTCTACTTTCTTTTGGGTTCCACCACTACTACCTGAAAGTTCCATAGACAATGTCAATAAATATCAATATCTAATATTTTGTTAATGAAAAAATAACATAATACAGCAATCTCGCACAAATCATGGGTTTACCATCTACAGTTTTGAGTTTCCACAGTATTCAGGAATTTCTACAGTCAACTCAAGAGACTTCCAGCTCAGCACAGTGGGAATGTTTGCTGGATCAGGTCCCCCATGTGGTTCATCTTGTTTACTTCAATGTGTCTATGTTCCTCAAATAACAATTTATCAACATCTACCATGCTTAGGTCCTCTTCCCTCTCTAACCTCTTTTAAATCCTTCATATCATACACTACAACAGCCACGGGTTATTTTGTGACCTTTTATTATTATTATTTTTTTTTCACGGCTACCTAAATTACTACATTTTCCCCTCCAACTGAACCTTTAGTTGTCCAGATTAATTAGGGGGGAAGGGGTGTCTGGCTTTGTCGAAGGTCCAACTGTTAAAATCAAGAACAAGTGTATAGAAAAGACTCCCCCATTTGACACACTGGTTCCCAGATGACCTCCGAGTGAATTACTAAAGAGTACTAATTCCAGGATCCAACAACCTTGCAACTTTAGTCGCTTTTCATTTATTTTTCTTACTCAGCCTTTACCAACCACAGGCGAATTAAAAAACATAATTCAATGGTTGGAAAGGGATTACTGTAAACTCATGTCTTTCAAACATGATACACATTTCAAATTCAAACAGTAAAGAAAAGGTATAGGAAAATTTAAAGTTATAATACCTAATAGTAAGCATAAAAAATCTTACCAGAACCACTATTAGTACTGCCATCTCTATTAAATGCATAGGATTCATTGGTATAATTAAATGGCATAGGCGTGTATCCCGTGGCAGGGGGAACGTAGGTACCAGCATAGGGCATATGTGGGCCACCCCATGGGGAAGTGCCAGAGGGAGGCGGTAATGGTGCTAGTGTGTCCCGATCGGCTTCACTCAAAGTATCCTCTTCTCCTAACTTCAAACCTGCTAAGCCTGAAAAAAAGTACACAGTAAACCATACAAATTCAAATTTTGAATAATATGAACCAAATAATAATAGTACAAAATTGACTTTAAGTTTGAATTTAACCAAACTTCTGAAATATCTCACATGATAACTAAACATGTCTTTTTTATCCAGGCATATAAGAATAGCATGTAGTTAGCAGTTCTTTTAAGGAAGGAAGGATGCACGGACGCACACACGTGCATAAAAAGAGGAATATGTATAGTACTAATAAAAATATGTTTAAATTCATCACTTAGAAATAGCAAAGCTTCTATAGTTGTTACTGGAAGTTAACGGAGCCACTAACCCTTGTTGGTACCAGCCAGGCAGGGGCTATGCTCACACAACCTCTGCCTAGCACAGACTAGGGGAACATCCAGCTATTTAACACACAAATACAGTAATGATAAAGTTAATAATTTTCGGTTAACGAATGACTGTGGAACGAATTGTGTTCGTTAACCAAGGGACCACTGTATAGTGGAACTAACTTGGGAAATGATTGATTCTTTTTCCTTAATGTGTGTGTGAGAGCTTTATTAGGCCTTTACTTATTGGTTTAGCTCTCTTTACCATGAAGAGGAAAATAAACTATTGTTTGAATTAATAAGAAAATTGAAAAGTGTACAGTAAGTGGGGTGAAGGTAGTGCAGAGTTAAGCAGCAATTACTCGACTATAAAGAACTAGCAGATTTATGAAAAGAAACTTTATTTGGAAATTTTATCTGTATAATACAGTTTAATTATTTGTACGGGTTTTATATACAGTACAAAGAGAGGTAAGTAATCACGTGTCATTAGTCCTGAGATATCAAAATCTTCTGTTATGTGTTCCATCTTAACATTTAGTGTACTGTACAGGGTGATTCAGCAAAGTGTACATTAAATTGGAGGATGAAATCCTTGGATAATTCTAAACCACAATGTCTCTAAAATGTCAGATTCTGCAGTTTCCATGTTACAATACATTTAAGATGTTGTATTAATGAGAGTGAATTTAATGTGAAATCAAAGTGGGTTTCACAACATCTAAAATGTATTGTAACATGGAAACTGCAGAATCTGATATTTTACTAAAGACACATTGTGGTTTAGAATTATCCAAGGATTTCATCCTCCAATTTAATGTACTCTTTGCTGAATCACCCTGTATAACCCTAAAAGTTGATTTAATATGCAATTGTTCCAAAATTTATTACAAATGAATCTTATTTTCAAATACAGTACATGAACTCTACACGATCTGTTCTATTTGTGTGGTGGGCTGTTGGCGTTGAAGCATATAGTGCATAATCTGCCACTGGAAACTTTATGTGAACGTTAAACCTTTACATCTATTGACTATTCTTACCTACTCTTGACTAAATATATTGTATTACAGAGGCAGTTCAAAATGAAGAGGTTTCACTACAACTAAAGTAATACCCCAATATACAAAAGTAATACTGTACCAAGAACTATCAAGTAGAATACTGTGTAGTTAAAGAAAGCATTAGGGCATGTCAGTACAGTTCTCCATTTTAACTCTAATTATTCTCCACTGCATCACCATACATATTCTCTCTCTGCTCGGTCGAGGTTTACTTCCCTCGGCCATCCTACATATATATATATATATATTGTGAGACAAAAAGTAAAAGATATACAGGGTAATTATCATGAGTTCAAACACATATAGGGAATAAACATTTCTTTGTGCACGAGAGTTAGCAGGCTGAGCGGGAGGAGGGAGCGGAGTGTGGGAGCTCCGTTGCTAAGGGGCAGGCAGAGGCAATCCTAGTTAGGCTGCACACTATGGCAAGTGTTAAGGCCAAACAGTCAGTATCTATACAAATGGAAGTTATGTTAAACTTTCATTTAGTGTTTTCTTAATGGTTTTAGCTGCCTTTTTTTCATGTACTGTAGTTTGTATAAGAATGTTTTTTGAAGTACTGTATCACAATTGTTAAATAACATAAGAAAGGTAGGTGGTATGGTTTATGAATGCAAAAAACTTACTGGCACAGAGATCACCAAAGACATAGTAGCACTGTTCAGAGAAGTCCTTTTTATTTACGGTGTGTCTAATATAGCCTGCCTTGAGCATCTGTGCTGCATATTTGCGGGCTTCCCTCCGATCTTGAAAGCCATCTACTCTTTGATGCAACCAATCTACTACATCTGCACCTATAAAATACAAATGAGATGTATTAGCAGAAAAATAATAATAGAACCTTAAAACTCAAAGTAATCCTCTCAGTTGACTATAAAGCTTTAACTATTACCTTTGGCCCAGCAATCAATAGGGACTTTATTCTTCCTGGAGCCAAGAAACCTAAGTGACCTCCTGTTCATGGAAACTCTCGTACAGTATAGAAATCAGAAAGGTGCATTCTATATCACTTGTATAATATGAATAGCATTACAATCCCATCAAAAATGACTTGAATCACCCTCTCTCTACATAAATATAACAAAAATAAAATTCCTAAGAGAAGTTCTTGCATCACTTGCTAAGATATTTTGCACTTCAGTTTAGTTTTTACACAAGCAAACCCACTTTCTTTTAGCTTTACTATTAAAATTTATATAAAAATATAAAAATCTATATCAGCATTAACAGTAAAAATATCCCTGAACAGTGCAGTACAGTATATATATTACAAGACCAAAGTACTTAAACAATTCAAGTAAGATTTGATTTGAATGAGAAATATATTTGACAACTTGTCCCTCTTTATCATTAAAAAAAATAACTTTGCTTACAGCAGATTATTAATCTTCCTGTCACCTCTTTTTCATATTACCCTCTGAAGGATATTATCGTGTCTCAACTTACCAATGAAAGCATTTGGTATGGTAATCTTGAGCCACATACGGTCTCTGATCTCTAGACCAGAATCAGGAGCTGCCATCGTTCGCACTATGGTGTCCATAGACGTATTTACCGTTAGCTTCATTTCTTCATATGGTCCTGTAAGTCACAAAAGATATTAGCCAAGATTGTTCTACCTCCAAAAAGATGAAGCCTTATTCTAATAAAATTAATGAGAAAAACAAAATTCTAAATAAGTCTTCTTCAGTAAATTTTAAGCACCTATTAAACTGCCTTATGATTAAAACTTCCAATACATTGAGGGTTTGAATCACTGACATTCATTTCATATGAAAATTAAACTGAAAAATCACATGCTGCACTTTCATTCACCCAACATATACAGTTGATGTAACTGAAGCAATGTCAATGTATAGATCTTAAACTTTCCAATTTATAAAGGATGGAATATGATAAGGTTGGTAAAGGAAGATTAAGTTCCTGAGAGGAAGATAAATTTTGAGGGAGGAAACAAAATTTCTGAGAGGGAGGAAAAGTTCCTTGGAGGGAACAAAAATGCCCGGGAGAAAGGAGAAGTTCCAGTGGGAGGAAAAGTTCCTAAGACTGAGGAAGTTTCTGACAGGAGGTAAAAGTTTCTGAAAGGAAAGAAAACTTCCACAGAGAGGATAAGTTCCTAAGAAGAAGGAAAACTCATGAAACAAAAAAGTTTCAGAGGAGGAAAAGTTTCTAAAAGTGAGAATGAATTCCCGAGGAAGAAAAAGTTTCACCAAGGGAGGTAAAGCTAATGAGAGGGAGGTATAAAACTGGGGGAGGGGTAAACCACCAGAAGGATAAAGAGCTCCTGATGAAGAAAGAATAAATTTATGAGGTGAAGGAACAGTTTCTGATTGGGAAGAAAAGTCATAGAAAAGGAGAAAAGTTGTTGAACGGATGAAAGAACTCCTGCATGGAAGGAAAGGTTCCTTAAAAAATTCTGAGAGGAAAATCTCAGGAGTGAGGCAAAAACCCTTAGGGAGGAAAAGTCCTTGAGCAGGGGGATATCCTGAAAGAGTTGATAATTTCCTGAGGGAAGACTATTATACAGAAAAAGTAGAGAAGTTGCTGGGGGAGGAGAGGGGCATCATGAGGGAAAACAGGAACACACACACAAAGAAAAAAGATGATGGTCTTACTCTCTGACTCAGGGATGCTGGAGGTGATGGAGGAGCTGGTGGAGGTGAGGGTGCTGACTGATGGCGGGCGACCAGGAAACTCTCCTGTCAAGGGCAACACTACACCTTACTAATACCACACACCCTCAAAATACCACAGGTCAGCAAACAAGTTTAAAAGAACACTCCCTCAAAATACCACAAATTGCAGGGTCTGAAAATGTCCAATATCCTGGTACCCAGAGCACCAGGAAGATGACAAAATTTAGGTTTCTGAACAGGTGACATGGCTAAAGGTGAGTAATGGAAAAAAGATCAGCGAATGTTTGAACTCTTCAGTCTCCACTTTTATATGCCAAAAAAAAAAAATAATAATATAGTAATAAATAGGATTTTGGTGTGAGTTTTAAATGTTTTTCCAGGAAGTCAGACCTTCAAAAACTCTGGACACCAGGAAACAAATATTTTCAGATCCTGCAGGTTAGCAATTAAGTTTCAAGAACATCCCCAGTGTGTTCATTCTGTGGCAGAGGAGGGCCTTTTTGAGTGTTAAAGTTAATGTCAATATTAAATGTACTAATACATACCATTGCATGGCTTACCATTATTATCTAGAACACATTAGTATCAAAATTAATTATCTACTGTTCACTCATACACTTAGAAAATGATCTAAATATATTTTGAGACTAAACACTCCTATGAATACAAAGCACATGCTTTATAATACCAAATCATGTATTGGTTTTGTAATTTTAAAAAGCTTCATCCAAAAGGTACAAATATACACAACTCTGGACCTTCACCTCAAGACTAGTAAGAATAATTTCCAAAGAGAAATTATGGCTTGATTCTTAAAACCCAAACTTTCCCCAAACCAGTTAGGAGCTATTCATATATTATGCCCACCAAATCCTACAAAACTGGACCCATAAAATCCAAAACTTACCAAATGGGGTTAAATCTAGAAATGGGGGATTAGAATACAGCAATCACTGGCGCCTGAGGTGATGAGTTACGGAGCCACACAACCAGTGAGAAACCTGCTCTTCATTTGACTAACCTGGTCATAAAGGAGGCTTACAGTACCAACCTATTTTCTGACAAACCTACAAGGAAAAGGGTACTTGCATATAAATGAATTCACATATGCTGATCTTGTAATATTGAGAAAGTAACAAAACAACTTTTTTATCTATTACATAAAATGCTAAATGATGTAATCAAGGCAAGCAAGAAAGGTAAACTATTACCTTAGCTATCCTACCTTACTGCTGAACTACATTATTGTTGTTAAACACTAACATACAGTATAAAAACATTGATCAAATTAAACTACAGTATAATAAAATTACGTCAGCAGCAGAGTACACAAATAATCCCAATTCAGATTTTGGCTTACTTCAACAAGGGTAGAGCCCTTTTGTTCCAAATTATGGAGGTTTTATTATATATATATATATATATATATATATATATATATATATATATATATATATATATATATATATATATATATATATATATATATATATATATATATATATATATATATATATATACTTTAACTGGTTAATTAGGATGAAAGGACCCAGAGCCTTAGAAGAGAACAAATAATATTCTCAGAAAACTGGGAGTTTCAAATAAATATTTGTGAGCAAAAAAAAAAAAAAGCCAATGACTGTCTCAAAGTATATTTGTACCAAGAGGATAAGTACATTATTTGGCAAACTAACAGTAAAACTATTGTAATATGCATCATACTGATAAAATGTTCTATTAACTTTTCTACATAAACTGTTATGTAGTAAAATTTTAGTCGAGTCTTATAATGCATTAAGATTCTTGCAATTTTATATCAAAGATACTCCATAAATTAGTAGTATTTCTTAATTAACACTTAAAGAGGTTAAAAGGAATAAACCTGGAAGAAGCAATTTACATAATCTACAGAAAAACAGCAATAAGAAACTGTGCAGCCTTCCCAGATTATTAGAACATCTGTATGTATCATTCTACAAATAATAAATGCTAATTCCAGGTGTCTTTTGCAATTTTGAGTGCTCCTTCCTACTCTAAGTGCATCACCAGGTATTGTTAGTAGCACTGCTAAGACAATAAAACATGGCTACACTCAACCTGGAATTCCTCGGCATGCTTGAGTGTGTGCAACCCACGCACCGGGGTCGATGGGCCGGACAGGCTCGGTGCGAGGTATGGTGAAGTATCCCTTTGGATTGGGATCCCAACATTTTGCAACAACAAGCTTGATAGGCCTGTAAGTATATGTGAAACACAAAGGGGGAAAAAGAAAAATAATTCATTAATGTTGTTCCGAAACAATGAGAATTTCATGTACTGTACAATCAAAGACAAAAGTCGTGTCGCGGTTTTGTCCGAAGATTAAATATAACTCGCGAAACATTATCAGAGCCCTACCACAAGGCAGGTGCGCACCAAAAGTTTGAGCCCTTCGGCATATGTTCTCACCAAATTTCACAACACGACTTTTGTCTTTCATTGTACATGGACTATGTTAACAATAGGAAATGATATGCAATCTTACAATGTTAAACTTATGTCAACTTTGTAAGACATTCCTGCTACAAAAGGAACTGCCAGAATAAAAAACATATTTTAAAAACATGGAAAAACAAAGTAAAACACTTACCCAGGTTTTTGGACTACTTCTCGTAAAACTCTAACAGCCTCGTCATTGCTCATATTTTCAAAGTTGATATCATTAACTTGTAATATCATATCTCCCGGCTCAATACGACCATCTAACGCTACTGCTCCACTGAAATGACAATTTTTCTTTCTACTTTGTGATGGACCATGGATGGTACACACTTGGGTGTGCCCAATATGGGCTTCTGAGTACAGTTCTTCATGGAAAGAGATCAATAAATCTATTTAATACTATGCTTCACCATTAGAAAATTATAAAAAGGTACAGTATTACAAACTGGATCTTCCTTCACCCTAGTAGTGAATAGCAACTGATGAACAATAATGAATCAACTTGCGTAAAAATAACATCTCAACTTACCCCTTCATTATAGATCCCACATAAATACCCCCATCGCCGCCTTTACTTGATTGGCCAACAATGGAAATGCCTAGAAAGTTTACAGTGTCCATATTTAAAGTGACAGTGATGATGTTAAGAGACATAGTGGAGTCGGTGATTGAGGATATAGAGGAGGTGCGAGACATGGCGGGTTGGAGACGGTGACGCCGCTGCTTTTTCCGACGATGGCGAGCATGGAGTCTTGATACGCTGCTGCTTCCTGTTTAAACAGATAATGTATAATACAAAACCATTATAACACTAACAGTATACTGTACATACAACTAATCCTCATTCAACACAAAGGTTCTTTTCCTGAAAACCTTTACAGTGCAAAAATGTGATATGCAAAACCAATTGTCCCATAAGCAAATTATTAAGAGGGTACTTGGTCAGACTTTGTGTGCAGAGAAAAAAAGTGAAATACTGTACAGTAAAACTACCATAATTCATAACTTCACAATTCATAATTTGTCATAATGTGGCTACTTTCATAAATTTCTAATCTATCTGAATATAAAAAATAGGGATGCAGTCCACAACCTATACTCTACTGCCCCAAGTATAAGATAAGAATAAATCAGTCAAAATTAATAACAAATTATAAATAAGTACTATATATAAATAAATAAGAATAAACACACACAAACATGCTACAGCCACGAGTGTGAGTGCTTTAGGTTAAATGAGAAGTGTGGGCAGCTGCCCGACATATGAAGCAGATATGAACCTTCTTTGATATGCCCAGCTCTTACGTGTTTGGTCTCTGCCATTAAGCATATGGGGGGAAATAAATTTTTTATACATACATATATGATTGAAAACCTTGTTGGGTATATTAACAATCATTGACATATGCAGGCAAAATTGTATGAACTTTTAGCATTCCCTTTTACAAAGATAGAATCAATTTAAATTGACCACAAATGTGCAAACCTAGGAAGCCAAGCTCTAGTTCATTACTCTTGGCCAAAAGGTACACCAGTGCAGTGTAGAAATAGTTTATGACCAGTACATCAGTACAGTGTAGAAATAGTTTATGATCAGTACATCAGTACAGTGTAGAAATTGTTTATGATTTGTACAATAGTACAGTGTAGAAATAGTTTATGATCAGTACATTACATTGTAGAAAGTTTTTGACCAGTGTATCAGTACAGTATAGAAATAGATTATGATCAGTACAGTCTCTCCTCGACTTACGACGGGATTCCGTCCCGATGACCAGGTCGTAAGTCGAAAAGGCAAAAATAACACAGTACATAGAAATTCTAAAATGGGTGTCTCTTTTCCTTCTCAGCACCATGAGAACTCTCACTTTTACACTTGCCAGCCATTTTAAAGGGAATTACAAACTAAATTTTGTCAGTACACAGCGCAATCACTAACATCGGAATTCAAAAATACGTAATAAGAAAAATATTTTGATACGACCATGGCCGTCGTATGTCCGGGTTGTCATAAGTCGAGGAGAGACTGCATAGAAATAGTTCATGATCCTAAGAGGATTAATTAAATCCTTACCTGTAGTTGTGGCAGTGATACGACTGGAGGCATCATCATCAGAATCAAAAAAGCTAGTAGACTCTAGATCAGAGCTAATCATGGAAGAGGATTCGTAACCGTGGTGACGAGGCACACGACTTCCATGACCATTGATGCGCATTGCTACAGAAATACAAAAAGTTAGTCCTCCACAGCAAGAACACCCCAACACTATCACATCTACCTGTCCATATTTCAATATTTCTGGCATTAAGTTCCACCTGAAAATGATTGAAAAGACTAGAATTGGCTCTGATAAGACATGCCTCTGGAGTTGGCCCCATTCTCTCACAAGAGCTATGGTGCAATTAACAACTTTCATGCAGTAAAATCCAGCAATATCACAGAATTATGTACAGTTATACCATGTGAAGTACTGTAGTTTTTTTGTGAAGTTAAAATTAATTCGAAAAAGAGGGAAACTGTAGTCATGTTACAAGCCAACACAAAAGTTAACATACAAATAACACTCTCGTAAATCAAAGTTGAACAATCATACAATAACATGCATACAAAAAAATAAAAAATAAATAAAAAAATCCATACTGTACATTACATGAAAGAGGGAGGATGAAGAAAAAAAGGGGGGTAAGAAATATTTTACTGTTCTCAACGACACAAAACATACCGACAGGCAAAATCTCCAGCTTGCAATTAATCTCAAACCTTAATTGTGAACTCCAAAGTTGCTAAGTTCAGGGGTGAATGAATGCCTTTTGTTGCATCCTGGAGTCACCACAAAGTTGGGATATTAATATAATCTTTAAACTATCATAAGAGCAGGTGTCATGGTGATACAGTAATGTATTAGCAGAGATTAAAGTACCGGTAGATGCTTTGTATAAAGTGGCATCATCTCTCCATATGCTCAGCTAGTCTACAACTTGGATGGCAATATATATTTTCTCTCAAAATCATTAACACATGTAATTCTGTTATATAACATAATTGTTGTTTTATTTCTATTATTAAAATAGTAGATTCAGCATACTGTACGTGTCACTGTGTATACAGTACTAACATCATAGACCACATCTAAGTTAGTGAAAAATGTCTATAACTGTACACTACATGCTTTAATTATACTGCATGGCACAGTATTAAGGTAAATATGCTGTAACTTAAGTACAGTAATTGACATATCTTTCACAAATGCTACTACAGTATACTGTATACAATATATTGTTTTACCATTCATGTCACCTGATCTAGTGTAACCTACACATTAATAAAGTACATGTACTGTACTGTATGTCTAATGTACAACACACCCAGAGAGTATAAGTTAAGCCTAAGCAAACACACCAGTATGCCAAGTCAAAATTCTTAAATCTGGACTGACAATTTATGAATGACTTTTGAAATGAACATAAGACCTTGTACCCTTGAAAAGTACATCAGAATGCCAGAAACACTGTTATTTACACTATAAACAAGTAAATCAGCATTAAATAATTCAGTGGTTTCAGTAGCAACTTATTGTCTTTATATGTACAATACTGTACAGTCCTACCCAATATACATGATTTTTAAACAAAATTATATGCTTTTAAGGGTACATAAACTTTTACATTTAATATAAAATAAGTTCACATATATTTGAAAGGAGTCTACATTAGTGGCAAAGGGGATAGAGTGTTGGCTTCTATCCTAAATATTGCTGGTTCACATTCAGGATACCCTACACTGTTTTTGTGTTTCAAAGTACTATGGGTATATCACTGTAATATCTGCTCCTGGGGTAGAACAGGACCAGCATCCCTAGTAATTCAGAGCGAAGAAAAAAGCACTAAGAGTTTAGAAGTAAAGTTCTTAATAATTCAATCTACTGACCCAGATAGCAATACTGTACTGTATCTGTTTGTTTCAAGGAATCTATAATGCCTTACTAAGTGTCCAAAATATATTTTAATTTTCTTCCTTCTCATTTTTTTCCATGTCTATTATGTTTTCTATTGCCATTTTTGGGTGATCATGTATATAATTTTTTGGACATAAGTGCAATACAGTAGTGTCCTGTAAAACATGCCACATTAGGCAAATTTAACATCTTAAGGTACAATATTTACACCTCTTTCTTAATAATGTTTTTATGAGAGAAGTATACACACATAAACAACCATACTGTGAACATGTTTTACTCACCAATGAAATGACAATGAACTTTGAGGGTGAAGGGTTAATGATTCAAGGCCTCAAACCCATCAAACATTACTTAAAACCTTTTCTATCTTTTCAAAGTTAGTACTATTTTCCTGGGCCCCTGTTACTTTACACATTACTCTTCTGATTCAGTATAAATCTCTTGATTTTCCTACACTGACTGCATATTACTGATAATGTTTATCTCAATTAACCTAGTTGGACTATTAAAGGTTTGTACACTAAGATAAATCACAAATTTTTTTTTCCAAATTACACCAGCGTTTCCCTGTCACTAGACCCTAACTACATATAATATGCTTACCCGGTACTTAGCATTAGCCGGGTACAGTACAATATTACAGTGAAGTACAGTGTCACTGTAGATCTGGAGCTGGTTTCGCTACCGTTACTATTAAAAAAAATGCAATAAATAAAATATGTATGTAACATGCTGCCTGATTGAAAACACCAGTTCCATTCTTCTGTTGCAGTTTTAAACCAGCCTTGCAAGGAATTTACAAAATACTTCTCTAAAATAACATTTAATTTAAAATGGTCTTTAGTTTAACACTCGTCTCTGCAATGCTGATGCTTTTCATCTGCCTAACATATTTCAATATTATCTACCTTATTTAATTCATCTTACAAAGTCAACTACAGTATACTGTAGTTATAAAATATGATACTAACACCAAAACTTATACTCTACAATTAAGTGTACAGTTGGCTAAAAAGTTCTCGAACACTCTGTAATATAATACAACAAAACCAATGAGAAATCTGAACATTGCTCTCTAAGGAAGTTTTACTGCAAATTGAATTACTTCTTTTTTCCTGTAAATATTATACTGTATATATGAACAACATATATTATTACGATACACTGAGTCACTTCGCAACTAGGCACACCAACCTTTCTGAGATGACAAGAGCCATAGTACTCATCCTGAAATCTGTCATGCCCAGCTGTTCAGGAACTCATTTTGCTGACTGAACACTGATTACAATTAACATTACAAAAAAATAACATAACTATCAGAATTTGCCCAATTAGTCTATCCCAAAGGTGACCAAGTCTTAAACACCACAAGCTCTCTAGTTTCTAGAAGTAACATGCATCCCAAACATAGAACTCAAGCCTTGAATTCATGGTATAATTGCCAATGAATATATTGCATATGAATCAGAGACCAAGGAAAGCCAGGTCCTTCAATAATGTATTTTTTTGGTTTGAGAGAGAGAGAGAGAGTGTTCGTGTAGCATACATGTACATTATTTCTCTTAGTCTTCAGGCACAAAGAACCTCAGATAAAGTTGTTGTCAAAGGCAATCCCACAAAATCAAGGACAGAATATACACAAATTTACACATAATCTACGCACAGTATTAGAAGTAACACCCGCACCCAAAAAATTAAGCATCAAGAAATAAATAATGTTAACCAAGATTTTAGTATTATGTAGCTACTCCAACATACACATGCTAAGGGTAACAAAGTTTAAAAAAAAGTTAATAAATAAATACATAAAAATAATAATACAGTACTGGATACCCCCAAAAAAAAACGCGGGAGTTAAATTTAACTTTTATGGATATCAATGTTAACATTTCTTACATGTGGGAGCATGGGGATAAAAGGATGGCCCCGTGATCTTGGACGCGTTACTGGTAACAGGTTTTCCAATATGGCTGCCATCTTTTGATTGAAAGAAAACCTAGTTTAACACATATTTACCTTCTGACTGGTGACATAAGTCTATACATTGTTCATAAGACCAATAATTTTGAAAACAGCTGTGGGCAGAGATTGAAAAAAGTACCTTTCTATTTCTTTTAACGTATAATGAAATATTAAAAGCCATCTGCATTTTATTGCATTAATTATGTCATTAAGTTTGGCCCAAGGTACATATTTTTGACAGGAGAACCAGATCAATGATGCCAGTAAACAATTTCCTATCCTAGATGCAGTATATACTTCAACTTAAGTAAAAACTGCATTGTCTCTATTAACTTTTTTGTTAATTGGTCACAGGGTACTGAGAATGAAAAACCTTTGTTAAACCTCTTTAGTTACTATCAACCCTCACTACCGAAATTGCTGAAAACTTAACAACATAAACATTATTTAATGAGGAACTCTTACAGTATTAGTTGGGGTGCCACAAATTTAGGTTAGTTACCACTTGTCTGCATAAAAAACATATAAAGTGCTAAAAGGACAAAGGTGGCCTAAGAAACTATAAACATGGGGATAACTAAGAGAATGAGAGCAGGATTAACTGAGAATGGCATTTGAGGAAGGACTGGTCCTTGTTAAGTTCAATCATGTGGGGCACACTCATAGTGTGTGGTCAAACCATAAAATGGAAAAGATAATATCGTTACTCATCCTAGATTTCTTCTACCCAGTTTTGTTTATCTATACAATAATGTATACACATACTATACAACAATCTTTACCTTTCCCGATAGTGGTGTGTTATGTAAAACCATTATGTTAGCCAGTCCATTCAAAGGACAATGATCATATAAACTTACAATCTTCATGTACAGTTGTCTCCATTTATAATTGGTACAGTGGCTGGTGTTTAGTGAGAAGTGGCACCACCAAACAACAGATAGGAGCCAATGACACTCTATTTGGTAATCTATATTAAAACTATAACCATGCAGGTAATGTGCACATTCACAGATAGAGGAGGGCTGCTTATTTAGCATCCTTGTTCTGGTTACTATTGCAAAGGTATTTCTGCCCATTCTGCTAGTTTTACTACAATATAAATAAACAGTAATGCCACATCTCACAAAACGTGCCAGCCAATGTCCCCTTTACAAATGGAGGAAACTGTACACAAACAATTTTCAATAAAAATTTGTAACATTTTAAGATGTTTTAAGGAATGGTTTAATTTCATTAAAACATATCTCAGCTTTTATAATTGGAGTTTAAGAGGAAATGAGATATGATAAAAAAAAGAAAAGAATAATTTACAAAAAAAATTATAGAAAGGAATCCTTTCATAAATTGGGGAATGCCTGTATTATGCTGAATTAGACCCTACAAACCCCAATCTCCTAAAATGAGAGACAATCATCACCTTTAACACAGAAATATATTTCACTATCAATTCCACATCTTAAAACTACACCTCTATGGATATAATTCTAACAAAAAAGTACAGCATAATACTGCTGTAAAATTCAATCAGATTAAATACTGAGGCACTGGGGAGGTTCTGTTCATTGCAGATCACTGAGGGTGAGGCAAGATAAAGAAATAACACTGCTCTGAAAAGTGTCATCCTAATCAGCATTACTGTCAACAAATGGGCAAGGAGCATTAACCAGCCTTCTCATTTTTTTTTTTAAACTAGGAGGCAAGAGAATCCAGGAGGGTTCAGTGGACAGGGTTGGACAAACATAAGGATGAATTTTATGAGGCTGTTTCCAGTCTTCTTTTACAAAATATAGTAGAAATAATAATGTATATTCTCTTTAATTACAGAGGCAATTACAGTTAAAATCAATGGCTAAACTTGGTAAACAAGCAGTAATTTATAGCTACTATCCACCTGAAAATGAGAAGGCTGATCACATTCATGTATGTTGTCAAAAACATAAAACTATTGCATCCACAATTTATCTAAAGTCTCTGTAAACCAGACAACCACATAATTAAGCCACATTCATCATAACTCTGACAACACAGAAACGACCCTACAGATTACAGGTACATTAAAGGCAAGCCTCACTTTATCATGTTGGGGAAATAGACCTAGAATATCATCTACCAATACATACTGTACATACAAAAATCTAATATGTAACATACCATACAGACACCACCCACACAAGAGGAGGACAAGTGCAATAATAATAATAATAATAATAATAATAATAATAATAATAATAATAAACTCTATCTTCAAGGTTTCAACATGATAAAATTATCAGAATGATAAGGGCTAAGCTCTCAAGTCATAAGTTCATAGCATTTAGACATGCTTGTCAAACTCAATAAAACTTTTTCTAACTTGGTGACCTAAATCTCAAATTTTGGATTGAATTTTACTTTTTTTTTGAACACAGGCACTTCATGCTTAATGAACAAAATATACATTAGTGAACAACCCTAACAAACCAAGTGCGCAAAAACACATAAAATACTAGAAGCACAGATTGCATTAATAAATCTGCCACTACCCAAGTCAATACAGTAGCATTTAACTTTGACATAAAATTACAATAACAGTTTGTAAATAAATCATAATGTAAAAAAAAAAGAAAAACTACAAGGAAAGGTAGAAACAGGCAAACTACTAAGCTGAAAGCTTATTAACCCATACTTAAGTGTTCTTTAAGCTAAATAAATTACTGTAAATTTCAGGAAGAGACCACCATAATGCACCACATTAATTCATAAACATGATTTACATGTTTTACACCACCATAAAAGCTTTTAGTAAATAAATTATCCAATTTAATAGGAAAAAATATATTAATTGCCACGAATCACCTCCAGAGGAAAGTACGCAGTACAGGGGGTCCTCGTTATAAGTGTTCATTATAAGTGGTTTCACACTTTAAGTGGAAAAAAAATTGTGTACCTACTCAAAAAAGTCCCTGCAGTTAAGAGGATTCTAGGGCTGAAATCTGTCAACCATTGGGAGCACAAGTGTTTGAGCCTTCCATTCTCTTATAGGTCACCCTTCTCACCCACGCTATGAGTGTTCAGTACCAATCGCTAGTGTCCACAGACATTATTTTGATGTGCACCAAGAACTATAATTACAGCATCAACTTTGTTGTGTCTTTGGTGGACTGTTTTTGTAGCCGTCAGTTCCAAACCGAAGCAAGGTGGTGTAGTGGCTAAAAGGAAGTGTAGCAGCTATGGGATGGATGTGATTTTAGAAGTTATATGTCAGAGAAAAGTGGTGAGCATGTCTCAATGAACCACTTTCATTGAAACGAATGTGCGGGTGCATGGTTAGGTGGCATGCACTCCATCAACACACCGACCCCAAACGACTTTAAGTACTTTAAATAAGCAGTAGTTAAATAATTTCATAAAATAATGTGTAATCAAATGTTTAACAAGTGTTTCTAAGTTATATATGTAACTGTTAAGAGGTATCAAATTAACCTTTATGAGTGTCTGTCACAATGTGATGGTCCTAATTAGACCCTATTCCTATTAATTCTTATGGGAATTAATTCCCCTTTATAAGTGGTTCCATTATCAATTGGTTTTTTTGATCCTTATTAACCACTTATAACGAGGACCCCGTATCATATACCGTACTGTATTACAAGGTTACAACATTTTCACTGCATAAGTTAGCTTAATGAAGTGAAAGCCAATCCCTAAACCTGAGCAATGAAGGTTTGCAAGTCGAAAAACCAGTCTGTTAAAATTCATCTTTGTTCAAGAGGCACCTCCACCTGATAGGGAACAGCACTTCTTTCAAATACAGGGAATGAGGCTCAAGATTACTGTTACACTGACAAAGCACAAGGCACAGTAATGATAGATCTGCAGAAAAGTAGAAGGCTCAGCCAAGATTATTTATTTTTCATCGCCAATTCTTAAAAGGTACTTACGATCCACAAAGTGTCGGTCATTGTATTTATCATACTTATGGTGTCGCGAACTTCTGTGGTGCCGCTCTAAAAATAAAAATTAACAAAACATACTGTAAACTAAAAGGCAAAAAACACAAAGAGATGGGGATGAAATCATCCGTCTATTAAACTCATGACAATATCCTTGATAAAAAGAACAGTTGACACTGTACACAACAGAGGGAAAAGGGAAGAATAACTATGGCTGTCTAAAGCAAAAGAGCTCTGTGTTTATACTTCCAATTCTCATCACAGGTGGTATCCAACCAAACAGAATATTGCAAAACACACACATCCTCTTAAAGGACCTTAATCAACGAGTCATTTAAGATACAATACATGTTTGTAGACTCCTATTGGGATGAATACCTTCCTATCGAAATTGGGAAGTAGAGACTCCCAAAACAGAGCAACCAGACAGAGAAGTTTCAGGTTTTAAACTATTCTGAGTCAACTACAGCAGTCATTCCTCATGCATATAACCTTTTAATTTCCATCTATGAACTACAATTAGGCTTGAAACAGAAAATAGTACTGTATTCAAAATTTTAAGAAAATATAAAATAATATTGATAATAAGAATAACTCTCTTCAATATGCATACCGGTACTTCTTATATTTAAAGGTGGTTGGTGAAAGCTTAGCCTCCTAACATACGCTTCAGCAAAATACATTCTTGCAATTATATCAAATTTTAAGTCTTCTTGAAGTTTAATCACACAAATGTCATGTAAAACTTAAAATTTTCTCATTTATACTACAGTAAGTGCTCACCTTCATTAACATTAGAATATAAAATTTTCATTAGAAATACCAAACTGTATGCCACAACATAAAACATGTAATTATCACTACTATACACACTCAACAGCATTCTGACACCATCAGTTCCTTATTTTATCCATTAAGCTAAATTATTTAAATCTTAAAAAAAAAAAATTATGGCCCATAGTTCCACTAATATAAAAACTAATCTTCATGATAATTTGAGTTTGCAACAAATGTACTGTACGTACAAGTGATTATTAAATCATATACATAAACACACAACGGAGGACTGACGTAAAAAATAAATATGGTAGAGGTGACAAGCAAGAGGTCTGAAAACAGCAAAATGAGAAGTCTAAAACTGGGCAAGGGGTCAAGGGGTTTGATTTTGGCCCATTTGAGGTTTTTTTTGGAGTTGGGTCCATGACGGGGGAGTAGGGAGTGGCCTCCAGAGGGACTGAATTTGAGTGGTCAGATTAAAGAACAAGGACTGGCAAGTTTCCCTGAAATTATTGGCTGAGGCAATGTTCCTCATTATGAATCACCAAAGTTACCAACACAAAGAGAAAATTACCAATATGTCTGATTTTATATAAAGGATATTACATACATTTTCCAGTGACAGCCTGTTCTGTACACTGTACAGTGGTCCCTCGGTTAACGAGCGCCTCGGTTAACGAGTTACCTTCCATAAGATTTTTAACTTCGGTTAACGAGCAATCCCTCGATTGACGAGTTTCTTACGAGCCGACCTCCACGTGTTTTAGCTTGCATTTGGCGGTCCACCATCTGTAGTACTAGTCCGCCAATACAGTAATCGGTTCTAGGGCTTAAATTCCTTACCCTTTTAGTAAATATCAAGAAGTTTATACTATTCAATCATTTTAAAAGTTTAATATTAAATTTTTTAGTCACTTTAACAATTTTTGAACATAATTGAAGGTAGGGTCACTAGTTTGTGGCACGCCATCCAGCCTGCCAACCCAGCATACAGGCGTCAGTCTTTGTGTCTTTTCAGTGGAGGTAACATCTTGCTTGAGACTCTCAAACTAAATGCTTTTTTTCTGTGTTTGCAAGCAAATTATTGGTCATTTTGAAATTTATTTTACATATTGACAATATATAATGCAGTGCAGTGTTGATTTAAAGAAAATAATCTTGAATTACACCAAGAGAACTGAAATTTTATGGGTGAAAAGGCACCATGGGGTGACTTATCTTCCACCCCAATGCCTTCTCTTCTCCCTTCTCTTCCACCCACATTCTAATTCCCATCATCATCATCCAGGAGCCTTCTTCATACACACCTCAAACTAAGTGTACTTTTCTACCTTTTTTGCTGAATTTAGGCAATTTTCGGTGAGCTGGAACCAATTACCCAAAAACCCATTGAAACAATGGTTTTGGTTAACGAGCAACCTTCTAGAACGGATTGTGCTCGTTAACAGAGGGACCACTGTACTGTATACGTGCTTCAAAATACCAAGCTAAATCAAGACAGTCACTACTTGCTGCACAATCTATTATACTGATGGTAAGAGATATTTCAAATATCATGGTCATGAATTTATATATGATGTGCATATGGTGTAAATGTTGAAGCAAAAATACTCAAAAAATAAAAATTTTATATCCTTTTGGCTGAGCTATTAGTTGATACAAAAATGAAGGAAAAAAAATGGCATTAAACTACCTCTTGATTGGGCACAAGATCAAAACGCTCCAATTTCATTTGGCTTTTTAACCATATCTTTTCTAATTGTAAATTTCAATATTATGGGATTACATTTGAAAAGTTATAATTTACACCAAGAGATGAGGCCATCATCTAGGAAAAAAACAAGATCCAATTATATGCAATAGACGACATTATATATCATAATGAGTAAACCTATTAGTAAACCTTTGTTATTCACGGGGGTTAGGTTCCAAGGAATGGCGTGAATAGGCAAAACCACGAATAGCAACTTACACTACCTTAGTGCACTACTGTATAACTATACCTAACAACTGACCAGCCATGGCAGCACTCATCCCATTTTTTAACTTATCTAATAATTCAACTTTCTTTGTCAGGATCATCACCGACTTCTGCCTTTTACGTTTCACTCCACTAGCATCACTAGCACTGACACTAGGCAGTCTTTTAGGGTCCATTTCACACAGAAACACTAAAGCTTTGACCACAACACAAGAGATGCTGCATCGCAGGCAATGGTTGAGCACAAACAAGGAAGAGGACACGCTGCAGGTGCGTAGTAGTGACTCGTTGCGCTGCGGAAGAGGCTCTTAAGCTAGCCACCATCTGCTTACCACAAATAGTTGAAACCGCGAATCGCAAACCCGCGAATAACAAGGGTTTACTATGCAACTACAGTGTCAGCAAAGTTTTGTGGAAGAGAAATATAAAATTATCTTCAAACCTAGAATCATCTGTTACACAGTGCAATATAGAAGGCCCTGGAATTAATTTACTTACATTTGGATAAAGCTCTTGCAAAATGACTCTGTGGGTACAATTGTCCGTGAGTTGTATCTTTGTGACCTCCATGAAGTATGATCTACTCTCTTATTATTGAACTAGTAGAGGACAATAATTAGAATCTGAAGAAAACAAATGACCTTATGGGAAGAATGGTTAGCACAAAAACACAAAACTTATGATGCGCACCATGCTCACCTCTCCGGGTGGAGATAACGCTCTCTGTTTCAGTACATGTTGAATCCTCCAACTGACTTGTTGTATCTCCATGGCTGTTGAAACAAATGTTCATTAATAATCAAACATCATTATGAATATACAATAATTATTAGCCATATCATGACAACACCTTTGTAACCTTTTTTTATACAGATTTTTAACCAAACAACCTTTACAAATAACAGTATAAGTAACAAGGTCGCCTCATCTGGCCATCACCCTATGACTTTTCAATACAAAATTTCTAGTGCACAATTTCTTAGAATACTCTCATACTGCCAAAAATACTCAAAACCAGGCCCGAGAACTGCAATTATGGAAAAAGTGTGAGACTGGGTGTGGAGACAAGAAGGCTGCCTTAAGTCCCCTTGCAGGATCCAAGAGCAAGACCTTTGGTGGGAAGTCAAGAGGAAAAAGCTTTCCCCAGATGCTGATGGACTTTGACAATTAAACTCTGGTTTGGTAAAAAAAAATATTTTACCCCTATAGGTAGAGAACATTTTATTTTGCTAACTATATCCTCAAATAAGTGCTCAGTAACATAGATCTACCTGAATGTTGTCTTTAATGATTTTATACCTAGTTAACTGTGTTATATCTCTGACATTAAAGGAGGATGAATTGAACTAACTCCCCCGGGTCCTTTGTTTACCTAAACCCATTTTCGAGTGTGAACAAAGGTCAGTAAGCAACATAAACAACTTCTCTCTTTTCTCTTTATAATATTCAATATCTAATGCTATGTATGCATTTATGTACCATATGATTGTCTGAATTTGAATTACAAGAGGGTACAGTATTAAGGTTTATGAGTGCAGTAGCCAAATTCATACAGCACCCCCTTCCTATTCTGAGGGTTACTAGATCCTGGAGCACTCCCAGTCCACCCAGCTGTAAATGGGTACCCAAGTTTACAAAGATAGGAAAGTGAAGGTAGATGAGTGTAGTGCCAGCCACACTGCTTCCTTGAGTACCAGTGCTGAAGAATTAGCACTGCAGTGTGCATTATCCTGGCTTATCTGTACTGTTCCTTATGGGCAGTGACCAACTTTCATTTGGAGCTTGAAAATTAATTTAGTAGAGGCATGTGACAATCCCATGATATTCATTGTCAATCTTTTGTTAACTTTGCTTATTTTATGTTGGGTTCATTAAAATAATAAAAAACAGAGGACTTCCAGAATATTATTCAACATTTTTTTTTTATTTCAAGGGTCATTAATTAACACTAATTACTCAAAATTTTAAATTATGAACCCAGATCCTTCATCAGCATGTAAAATAGTACCGTTGAAAGAAATTGGAACAAAATCTATGTCATGACCTCATCTGATGAAATGCAAGGTACTATACACCCACTGTGACTGAAGGAAATCAAGTGAGCCCCCCCCTCAACCCACTGGCACTTTCTAACACAAGTTATTAATTTACCAAGATAATTCTTTAATATCTTGAAAGTAAATACTGGTGACCCTTGGACTTATTTCCATTATCAATCAACTTTATACAGGGGGTCACCAATACAGTACAAGATATTTCAAACTGGTGAATCCACACCTTTGAAGTTTGAATCAACTTATCCCATCATTCTAAATTTAGTGTTTAAACGATATACAGGTGTATACTGGATAGAGGTACAAGAAAAAATTTGATACATCACCAGGGAAGACATTAAAATTATAAGGATAAGCCTACCATAATACATTTAGACTGACACTCACTGATATGGAGGCGGCCGGCCGCCCTCCACCTCCGCACATTGTGACACATTATCTGACACAACGCTGCTATCTGCCGATACAATCTGCAAACAAACAATTGCTTGGTGAGAAATTTGTAATACTATACAATTCAGAGATTAAAAAATCTCCAACTTAGTCAACAGCTGACTGAGCAAGTAATATATGAAGCCTACGAGTCCTGTAGCTAATGCCACATGTCATATGGGTAAGCATAGGCTCACTAACCTTCCTTCATGCTTTTATGATGACACAAGACTCCTTGATATATATATATATAAATATATATATATAAATATATTCAACTGCTGATAAAAAAATTCAACAGGGCATTGGCCTAATTTCATGAATCGAGAGAAACATCCACACTGTGTATACACTACCACTTATATTAGACATATGCACCCAACTCAGACCTCAGACTTTTAAACTACTGTATTCTTATATATCACTCACTTGATATATTTAATCTACCAGTAACTTTGCTTATTCTAAATTCAAGTTTCATGAGAGGGAGGATGAGAGATGATGAGGACAAATAAGGAAACATTTGTTCAGATACTGAAGGGGTTTATACTTGTTAAGATTCTTAAGGCATTTGTACTTTCAATTCTGAAGGGGCTTGGGAATACAGAGAAAATAACAATACCGATGACTCATGTGACAAGAGGGTTAACTGTTATGTGTCAGATTCAGGCACATTATACATGACCATACTGAATAGTTTTTTCCTAGAAATTTTTATTTTTGCTAAAGTGACAGTTATACTCAATTTTTTCAGCTTTAAGTGGTAACCGCTGTATCCAACAGGTCTCTTATAGAAACCCGGATATGAAAAGAAAACAAAATCTAACTTTCAGAATAATTACAATCATGTGTCTAGGTCCAGTGAACCTTGGGTTTTAAACCTGTTTGCTTGCTGGCTATATATGAGTCAGCTGAACCAGGAACAAGGTTTTGAACTTAGCATTAAGACAAATTCAGCAGTCCTTAAATCTTTGTGCTGTACAGTATATGGGAATTTATGACAGTAAAGTTTACCAAAATTTTATACAACTTAGTTCTGATGTACTGTACTACAGTAAAATATTTGCTAACTTCATATCAGCACTGAATAATTTAGTTTACAAATAAAAAAGAAATGATGAGTTGTAATCAGATACATTACTGTACAGTACGTACATGATTAAAGATTAGTACAGGTAAATCCTTAAAGCACAACAAGTGCTTTTCTGATTTTTAAACAAATAATTTGAAGAAAAAAATCTAACAAACACAAATCAGCTGCTGTTACTGTACTATTTTGCTGAGGCATGACATGAAAAATCATTTCAGTAAACTTTTGATCAATAGTTAAATTAGTTTGCAATCAAATTTGTAGACAGCTAATAAAGTTGAAAACGTTATTGAAAATGTCTGGATATTCTTTGGAGAAAAATTACTACAGAGTCGACTCCAAAATCTTTAATTTTAATCATAACAACGAGTCAGAGTCTCCACCTACATTACTCATTTGAATTTTACAATTCAATCACAGCCCTCATAAAATTTTTACTCACCCAAGAAACTACCCTGCCGTTGAAACATGGAAGCGGTGCATCATCGTCTATAATTTCTTCTTTGACTACCCTGAAAAATAAAATAAGGTAACATTATTACCTGTAGCTATATGTTGTACAGTATATACCTTGTACATGACTCTGTAATCCTGTGATTCCTACCCAAGGTAATGGATTATTCAAGACATAACAAGGTGGTTCAAAATTAAAGTTCTAAGTTACAGACAATACTGTACTGTAATTAGTGTGTGAAGTAACAGGGATAATCCACACAGATATTTGGGACTTGATGAGGAAGAGTGGCATAGTAGAACACATTTCTTACACCGGTAAAAGTGACTGATGCCTTCGTTCTTGAATCTGGCTACCGAGTATTATAGAGGGACAAGACTTAAAAAAGTGAAATTTAATTAGTGTCATCTGATTATGAAACTCTCCGATAGCCAGAGTTGAAATTTTCTGGGAAAATCAATTTTCCGAGGGGCACATTTTCCTGAAAATTCTGAGAAAATTTTCCCGATACCCGTAAAATTCCGGGGATGGGTGAGTTTTTTTCCGGCTTCGAGAGTCGTCTCCTTACCCGGAAATCTCTCATTCCCGGAGGTGCTCTGCACCAATTGTTCCGACTAACAGAGATATCACTGTACTTTGTGGAAACCACTTATCTACAGACATTCAACCAATAGAAACATGACTATGTCCCCCAAAACCTTTTCAGTTAGGAAAGGCAAAAATGGGAAAATAAAAAAGAATAACTAAGATCTGAAATTTAGAAGGAGCCTAGCATAAATTCTGGAAGGCAACGTTGTACAGTAATTAAAGTCAAAATCCTAGAGAACTTGAATATTCCAGTTCCATCTACTGGTTGTTTGACCGAAACTAAAAAATTCTTATAGTACAGTAGTGTGTCAATTTATTGCCATACAGGGTAGTATTGGCTTCTTTTTTTTTTTTTTTACATTAAGTCCCATGAAAAACGTATCCACCTAAGAATCACAAGTCAAACTGATCATTTGAGCCAAGCCTCCAGTACAATATGCTTGGAGAAAATTTTTACACTTAAGTATACTGTACTATACAGTACTTTGAATAATGGTTAGACATATGTTTGAGTAGTTAGCTTACTGCCATTTGCTTATTTTATGTTGGGTTCATTTAAATGACAAAAAATTAGAGATCTTGAAGAATATAATTAAATACAATAAGTAAAATTCTTAAACTCATTACCTAACTCAAAAATAAATTACTTGTTTTTATATACAGTACCATACTTATTGTTTCCCATATTTATAAACCTTCTTTGTGGTTATATAACTGTGGCAAGGAAATTCTTAATACATTTACAAGCTCCTTTGAAAAAGCTACAGTACTGTAGTGTCTGGAAATGGTAAACTGAAGTACAGTAATTAAATCATTGGTCTGGCTTACAGGGAGGATAAAGAGTTTGGTTCCAGCCTAGAGGGCACTTACACAATTTTATAAATATCTAGATTCTAGGGCATATGTTGTACCTTGCAAACATTGATTAAAAAGATTTTTCTAACAAGTAAAAAACACTGTAACAGATCAGAAAATTATTGCTGTCAAATCTATTCAGTGAGCCATCCCCATGCATGAGTGAAGAAATTTTAAACTAGACGATTGAATCTGACGGAGGATATATGAAATAAGAACAACACTCTTGAACTATATACAGGGTATTTCAAACTTCCTTGCAGTCCAGTGAAAAAATCCCCCTATGATGAGGGCAAACTACAAATATTTATGAGTGTTATACTAAAGTAAAAGAAGATACTAAGAAACAATTATGCCTAACAAGTTCTTACCAGTGAATTTTAAATACTTCATTAAACATGGACTATCAACTTTATAAAAGAATAAGTTGCTCATATGTTGTGGTATAAGTTTACCAATGAACTGTTATAATACTGCTCTAATGAGAAAATGGTGATATGCAAGCAGTTTTGGAGGTCTTGAGTCAACACTTTAAATGCTATTTTGTAATTATCAAGTTGTGTAAACATGTAACCTTTGAAAAACAAAAGATAATAAAGATAAATATCTTGTATCTAGTGCAAGGTGATACTGTATTCTCATAGTCATCCAAGAGATAAAGGTGAAAGTTGTTGGCTCACATTACCTTGTCCTACAACCTCTTCAACATGGCATCATCATTCCAAACCACAACCCTTTCCTTCATGTACAAATCTGTTCTAAACTTTATGCACCAGAAGCAGCTGATCCCCAAATATCAACTCAAATGAATAACAGGAAGTACTGTGGATGAAAATTTAAATGAACAATACAGGTATTAAAAAATGTAAATGGTATATTCAGTGAGAAAGATTTAAATGAAGTTATTCCAAGTGTAATGAAGAGTGAGATGAGAAGAGATACAAAACATTAGGTTATATGACCAAGAACAAGAGGTCAAAAGATGGACCTAGAAATGCTGCACCTTATAACCTTTTCACTGCAGCTCCATTCTAAACCTCAAAGTGAAGCATTAAACAAGATATTGCCACTCAAAATTATTAAACAACTTACAAAAGATCAAAGGCTTATTAATAAAGTTAAGATTTTTTTTACATATTACATGTATCTATAACATAAATTTAAGATGATTACTGTACTGTAATTAAAATTTTGCAACATAAACTTCCTTTTGGAGGCATCATGTTGTGTTAAAATTAATTATAGTATTTGGTTCTGGTTTACTACAAGGCATACTTTGGGTTAATAAATATAATGCTGTACTGTACTGTATAAAATTTGACTTGTTAAAAATCTGATTTCTTCAATTAGATTAATTTCTTATTTCTTTTTATTAAATGTTTTTGTTAAAAGAGTACCACATCCATTGTCCATTAAATAATATTTTGTTTTCATTACTTATCTATACAGTAGTTTAAACCTTAGTAATTAGCAATCTTTGAGATCATAAATTAATCTAGCAGTAATTGTTTGACTTCTACCGTACATATGAAGTCAACCATACACATCAATGGTCTTGGTTTAGTACTGTAACAGTATCACTTATTACTGTACTGTAGCATCATTTTTGTCAATAATGTATAGAGCTACAGTAAAGGTATTTAAATTATACTAGACTTACTACACAACATTTGATTTTACTAGAGACTGTACAGTATATATACAGTACAAAACATTACACCTACTCTGTATTAACAAATGTAATTACCAAGAAGAAAATGCAGCATTGAGAATTCCATGTGAATCACAATAAGTATTTCACATGCCTATCAAATACACTGTACTGTACAGTAAATCTATAAATATAAAATTAAGAGTACAAGTACAGTACTGTATGACTAAAACAGGTTAAACTTGTGTTGCTAATAGCTTAATACATTTGTAAAATTACAAAACATTCACTAACAATCTACAATATCAATCCTGTACTTAAATCACTTGATCACAAATACTGTACAGTACAAGATGTCTGTAAAGTTTTCACCCCCATGGGAAATACTGTACTGTAGTATACATTCAAACTCTCACCCGGTAAAGAGAGTTTAACTACAGTATTGTAATTCCCATTAGATACTGTACCAACTTTGAACACCTGATACCCTGAATATAATCAATATAACATGTGTGAAACTCTATTGATAATTCACCATACTTTAAACACATGCTACAGTACTCATAGAATTGTCCTGCTCTCGAATCAAACTGTTAACATTGAAATCATGAAACCATGTTGATCACAAGGTTCCAGGGTCCTTCACTGCCATTAAGACATAGTCATAATGAAACTTGGTTGTAAGTTTAATTCTGGGGTTTCCATGAACTTGTACAACTGGGCTATGCCCAAGAAATCAAATAAAATGAGTAAACTAAAGATGGGATTTCACCCAATTCTTCAAGTACAGCCCCTACAAACAGGCCAAGGTGAGGCTTCTCAGTCTACACCATCATCCACTGTGCATGCCTTATGCAACCCAAGCAGGTTATAAAACAAGACGCAGGTTCACTTGACCCTCAGTTCCCAGCTCTTAAGGATCATCAAGGCGATGGAAGATCAGTCACCCAATCAATGTCTGTTATAAAATGAGACTCCAGGAACACTCCATCATTTATAACTGATACAGAAGATACAACAACTTATGTAGGCTCAACTCAGCCAGTTACAATGGGAAGGTGGATACATGAACTCCAAGCAATAGCACAACTCGCATCCAGTATTCTGGAAATAATGATTTAACACTGCAAGTTCCTAGGTCCCATGCAGGCCAACTGTGCAAAGGGATTGTCCAGAAATTCTAAAAAGGGCATGCTCTTTAATTCCCATACCTGTACTCCTCCCCAGCGAAATGATCCCAAAGACAAGCTACTAAGAAGGCTAAGGAAAACCAATCATCCAAGCTCGGTGTAACCTGGTTGTACGAGTCTAACGTACTTCACTACAATGAAAAGACCTAAATGTTCCATACTATGCCCATAATAAACAACAACAAAATTGATAAAACTAATCTGCTTACAAATGTAAATGTGAATTGCCTTTCAATACAGTAAAGTGATCCAAATCCAATCCTAAGGCTGAGGAATAGTCGAGTGCCTAATACTAAGAGTTTGTTTTTGTTAAATGGGTAGTGCAGTATGCAAAATAAACTGATGTTGATTCCAGTTCCAAAAAAGATGACACCAGTTGGTCAGTAGCATTTAAAAGTGCAACCTTGTTTTGATTCAGAGCAAAGAAGACATTTGTTTCTGCGGCAGAATAATGCTCGCTGACTTCATACAATTTGCCTCTCTGGTGTAAGGTTTTTTCTCTGTTGGTGTATCTGACTGTTGGGGCAGGCTGACTTTTCTGCACCTATAACAGCTGAAATGTATACTCTTCATAGCTATCTGAAGGAACATCATGTACAGAAACAGCTTTTGCAGATAGCAATTTGCTATTGTTTTAAAGTTTTCACCCTTGTTGAAGAGCCACTTCCTGATAGAAATCCTATTTCTGGAAGGTTAGGTAACAGGATTCGTGTTCCTCTCCTTCATCAACACTTTCTTGAGGCTGAATTTCGTCCCTTTCACCCACATGTTGCCATCTTCACTGAATAATAAGGGAAGGAATGTACTACATTCATTGTTTCCTACAGTTTTTAAAACTACTACATCTTCACTACAAGCTATGAACTGTGCCATTTTCAGTAAAGCCGCTCTTTCATTGCTTTGCTTAACAGTCTGTTAGTCTCTCAAATTCTTTTCCTTTTTGTGCTGAGTGTGAGATGTCTTCAATATCACCACTTTCTTCTCATGTTATAGCGACATATCACAATTATGGTGAGCCAATAGAAAAACCTAATACGTACAGGTAAATGGATGGTTAAGCTTTAGTTAAAGGTTTTAAATTTTTTTGTGTACCAATATATAACCAAAATTGTGCTATTCTAATAAATTGAATGGCAACTACAGGTATCTTGGTTTTATGATTTTAGACTTAGAGCAAAAAACTGCAAGGGTTGTAACTACCTAATTTGTTACTAGGTTCCTATAAAAGGCATCTACATGATCGAACCAAAAATAGCACACCAGGTCAGGTGCACCTCATTTTAGATGGTCTGACCCCCTGGGTACTTAGTTCGGAACAGGGTTTCCTGTCTTTCAGTGTCACATCGCACATCCATTTACCCATTCTCAATATTGTTTGCTCAAGCTTGCATATGGCATCCTCTTTAAACTGCTCACATTTCACTGCCATTCATCACACTTCTCATGTCAGTTGCATACATCTCCCCTTTCAAGTGGAGGGAAGGTACTCTTGGTGTCAATCAAGGCAGTAACTCCCTAAACTTCCACCAGCCACTTCTTGACTCCTACAACTCCAGCACTGATTGTGTCACCCAGGTAAAAAAACTCATAACACAGTCCAATTATATATCCCCAACACTGAGTTTCTCTAGCCTAGTTGCTACCCCAACACTGAGTTTCTCTAGCCTTGCTAAGGCTATATGGTTACCTGCACACACAGGACACTTAAAAAAGTCAGTAACACCTGCAGTCTGCCAATTATTCCACTGCACCTCTTGTACACCCACCTTCCACACACACACTACACATTAGTGCAGAAAGCACATGGCCATACTAAGGAAACTAATGTGGAACACTCAGGGAAGGGAATATTCTTTTAGTTAAGTTGGGTTTGGTTAATTTGTGTTATTGAGAATCCCAAATGGTTTTGGTAGGCAACCTCCATAAGGAAATCTTGTTCGTATATAACGTGTTTTACAGGAATATATACTTTACACATTATTTATAAAGTATTAAAACTTGGGAAAGTTTCTGTTAATGCAGCACTGTAATAAGTATACAGTATACTTTTCTTGTACGGCTGTACACAATGTGTAATTACATAAAAAATTTATACAAAATTCTCATTGAAAAGGTTTTTTTTTTAAATAATAATCTTAATCAGTAAATACAGTAGCTGTGTTTATAAAAGATATGTATTGTACTTGCAGTACACATAGTAATGTCCTTCTAAAACCTAAAACTAACAGTACAGCTTATACTAAATTTGAAGTTTGATATAGCTAAAACAGTAAAATTAGGAAATTCAATAGAAGCTCCACCAGCTCATCCATAAATTTACAACAAAAAATACAACAAAATGTCTTAGTTATTCCGAATTGTTTAAGTTGAATTACTGTATATTAAACAAAATCAGATAAAAATTAATACCTGTATACAACTGTTTCCCCCCAACAACACATCCTATGCACTCTCAGCATTCTGGCAATTTAAATAAAATATGGCACAAGTCACATCATTGTCCAAGGATTCCAAGATTAAGTAAGGCTCTTCCATTGTTTAATTCTTTCACTGGGTCTAGCTGGGGCTACAGTCATACAATTATCAGGAATCTGTTGCCATGAACATCTGCTGTTACTAAGCACCCATCAATAAAGTTTATATATGTCTTCTCGGTTTACTTTAAATATTGACTTGGTTACATCACAGTACATCTTGTAGCTAATGAGAAGTGTACATGAAGTGAAAAGTTTGTGTACAGTACAGTATTTACACCGATAAGTAGAAGACAAACAACACTTACTGATGTGGACTGTCACTTCCTCACTAGTTAACACTTTTATCATATGATCCCCGTTCATTTACACAGCTAATGATCACATAATTCATTTCATCAGTAAAATTACCAAGTAGTTTAGGTAAAATCTTAGGAGAAAATGATACAGGTCACATTGAAGGCTGGACCCTAACATAACATGACATTATTCTTTATTCTCATATATATATTACCCCAAGTTTTCCCTGACTAAATAACAATCATCAATCATCATAATTTTCCAACTTACCCAAAATCATCGTCCATAGACTTAAAAAAAAATTTATAACTTGGTCTGTTGAGAACATTCTTGAAATCTGATAACGTTACTTTATCAGGTGCTTTAGGAATTTTCACTAAATATGGAGTTTCCTCGTCATCTATGTGATAAATAATCTTAGTTTCTTCCATTTGTACACGTGTAATAAGGTCCGTAGGTCTAATGGGCGTACACCGAGACTCCCCGTGTACAGGACCGATAATATGGCTGCCACCCTAATGTTTTCCTAAGACGTTCCAATAATGTAGCTCGTGTCAGTGTATATTTTTAGGTAAATATTAATTGTTGATTATATAGCTAAGCTGTGTAGTTTATAAAAATATTTTAAGAACTTCTATATTTTTTATATTGCAATAGATAGAATTTTACTTAAGATATATTAACTGGAGTTATATTTAAAAGGAGTATACTATACGCTCGTAAACTCTTGGATTGACAAAAGGTTTCCAATCAATTATTTTTCTTCGTTATATTAGAGTCAATATCATTATAATATTTAAAGAACTGACTATTTATATATTGCTTTAACAGTATATATTGGGATTTTCATATCACAGTTGCTCTCTGCCATTTAAGAGTGTTCACTGTTATCTCGCCTTTGGGCCACGTGGTCATAAGAGCTAGTTTGCCTCGCTCAATTGTTGAGAGAAATCCTCTTGGGAAGGATATCAATCATGCCCTTTTTTTTACCGCTACATGCTGGACCTAAACACCTCTACCATATGTATTGTATTTTGAGCATTGTTCGTAACATAAGGATATTGTGTCTTCGCTGACAAGTGCTTTTACTTATCACAAGTAAATCGTAAATTAATGTGGTATTATATAACTTTAATATTTTTATATACGTTTAAACTCATTATACTTAACCCGATAAGAGTAGAGACATGTCTGCACAAGGGACAAGGAACAAATAGAGTAGAAAAATATATGTGTATTGTGTTTGATAGCGAGAATTAACTGAGAGTAGTTAACAAAACGCATTATGGTTTACTTAAAAGATAAAATTACCATCATTACGATCCTTTACAAACTCTCATAATAATAATAATAATAAATATTTTTTTGGTTATATAAAGCGAAAGATTACCATGGGAATGACGAGATACATAACTATCAGGCATAAAAATATTGTAAATAGGAAAACAAAAACTTGTTACTGGCTTAGAATTAAATATAAAACATCCTCTGAAACGAGAATGGCCATGAAATGTATCATTGAAAGTTTAATTATTCTACTTTCGAATAAAAGAATTTAGTGACAAATAAAATAAATGAACCGAATTCTATCGTCGTTTGAGATATTACTCATATTGCATCTATTTTATATACTCGTAAGATAGTCAAGGAAATTTGGAGATAGTCTAACTCTAACATGTTCGCAGCTTTATAATATAATACAGTACATATATACTGGTTAAATCGGTTTGGTATGTTTTAGGGCGAAACTCTCATCTTAAGCTGTTCTTTGTAATTATCCTACCACGAAAAACAATGTTATTATACTCTTCTTTATAAGGTAAGGCAATTATTCTTATATACTTTTGGCGGAATACTCTCCTTTAGCTCCATAATTTAAAAATATATATTTCAAGTAATTAGCCTTAACCAGACACAGCGAAGCATTACTTACAATACACAATCAAAGTCGAATCAAAGACGTGTTCCAACTGAGGAATATGTGTGGTGTCAGTTGGTATTTTTCTTCCTTATTCGGCTGACATGAAACAAAAATATTTACTCGGTGTTTATAGAAATCAAAGGTCACCACACCCTGGTAACCCAAGGCTCAGAGAACAGCGACGTTTGTAGCTTGGATTTTATAGTTAGGTAAATCTTGTGATAAAGCGAGAAATAATTCAGTCCAGACAGGGAAAACGCAGTTACTTTATTTACTAATATGAATCTGAATAAATCAGTGCTAGTGTTTTACGAATAGTTCAATGAGATTAAAGTTAGATAAGACAAACATTGACGTAAATAAACTGCACGAATGGATTTCTGGGATTGATGGGAATGTTCTTTATTGCTGTACTATATAGCGTCAAACTTTTAAACCATAATAATAAAGAGGTCATAAAATTGGCAAAATAAAATAAAATTTAGTGTTATTTTGAATCAGTGGTGGGGAGATGTTCTTGCAACGAAATAGAAGATACTAAAGAACATGAATCAGGAAATGGACAATAATACGTAAAGTTGTTGTCAGGCCAGGGCTGGGAGTATATTATTTTCTTATTATTATCATTACATTTATCTATTTCTGAAGTTAACAAAATAAAATTATATCCTAGATATACAACAATAATACAGACAGATCTATTTATCAAATTATATATAAGCTGAGGTGACAAGGTTGTTGAAAAGTACGGAAAATAGCTGAACCGTGATGCAAAAACGAAATTCTAATATCAAATACAGTGTTCATTACCAGGTGATGTACTGGCAACGTATCATTATCTACAACTGTCGTAAAGATCCTGTTTACAGTTGCGTGAGACACCATCAACACCTAGGGCAGGTGGTGGAGGGGGGTGGGGACGGCCATCTGGTAACATAGATGGGCCGGCCCCATCACCTAGCTGGTGGTGGAGAAGCTCCCATAACCAGCTGTCCGAGAACTCATCGAGATCCTTGAAAAGCAGTTGTCGAGGAGAGGGCAACCAGCTGGGAACACAGACAGGGGACCCAACACAGGCATGTCAGCTGGGCCCTCAAGCGCTAGTTCCACCATGACAGGCACAATCTCTACCACTCTGCTGGTACGTACCTTGCTCTTGTTCTACTCGCACATCTTGTATGTTGCATCTTGTCATTTATGGAAAGTTATCCTCTCTTTGTAAACTTGTCTGATTGTTATTTTGCCTCTTTACCTATCTGCATGTGTATTTTCAAGTCTTTCCATACTTTCTATTTAACTAATATCAATATTAATGTGTAGATGATTATATACTTTTTTCCGCAACCTCTCCGTCATTAATATACACATGATGCCACATCACCGTTGGCTGGGTCAAAGTATAATCTTGGCCAACAGAGGCCAGATGTGGGCAAGACAGACGACCACTAACACCAGCTGAGAGCCCCCTTGTTCCCTTCCTCTTCAACCTCCTCCTCCTCCTCCCGCGAGAATTGTCAACATTGCCTGCGGTTTCTGCTTGTTTACATAGATACATACATACGTGCATACATACATACATATGGTTACGTACACATTATATACTGTACAGAAGATTTTTTTTCTGTCACGTTTCATGTTTGCTAGGCAGGTCGTGACGTAATCCCTGGCTTCGCACTCGGCTGCTTCAGTGGGTGACCCCATCACCTGGGCAGGATACGAGTCCACCGATGGATTATTTTTCCATCGGCAAGTGCACCCGATAGTGTACTTATCGCTTAGTGTAAAAGGGCTAGTGTATAATGAGGAAACCCAATCTTTCAGTCCTGTCCATTCGGGATAGAATCAACGATCATTTGATTGCGAGGAAAACGCTCTACCAAATTAGCTACGTAATACTTGTCATGAGATGTAAATTTAGGACACAGAATAATTTTTAGTGCAATGTAGCAGTTTAAAGATAACCAAACGAATGATTAAAATTATAATCTTGCAGTTCAACCTTTTACTTTATACTGTGTACAAATCCTGAATATCACCATTGCTAATTCCTCGTACATTTTACAGAACTATACCACGTCTGACTTACACAATCTTTTACTAAATAAGGCTAGGCTTCATTGGCAGAGAGTGTTAATAAAATATTCTATTTTATTAAATAAATAATTTTGATCTTATCATTCATTATAGGGTGTAAAATATATGCCGCCACAAAGTAATAACTAAATACTGTATATGACATTATGGCACGTAGCAATTAATCAGCTTCCGTTAAAAATATTTCAAGATTTTTACATTCCGTAGTCATTATAATTAGCAGCTCCTTTTTCAGCCTGGAAATCTAAATAAAGCCGATGACATAAACTCTTGAAGATATTTTGTCTGGAGGCTGTTTATGCAATTTTGCGTTGATCTAATCTGAAGGACATAACACTTTTATTGAAGTGCCAAAATGACATAGGCACAGACACTCTTACTGCATCTACAGACATTATCATCGTCCTCCTGTATACACATAAGCACAATAGTAATGCCTCCTGTAAAAAAAAGTGAAAATGGGTTCAATAGGCATGCCCGCTTGTTAGGGACATTATGGTTACAGAACACTATACGCCTTCGGTACAAAAGAAGGCAGCAAGGACGGTACTGCTCTTGACCGCCTTCACTTCCCCAAGTTGTATCTTACGTATGCATTTACAAACGGATGAAGTGAGACCGCTCGAAAAATCTAACCACCGAGGCCTGGAAGTGGAAGCAAACGCTGTATCCACTCGACCGCCGCACTCCTGTAAATATGAAGGCACTTTATTAACGTCTCCTGTACACACACACAATAATACAAAAAATAAAATAAATATAAATAGGATATCATCATCGTCTTCTACACACACACACAGGCATACTGTACCACTATCGTCTCCTGTACACACATAAGACACACTGTTAAAGTCTCTACACACACAAACATTCTCTTAACGTCCCTCCACTCACTACTATTAACGTCTTCAGTGTACACATTTTCAGACCCGTTTAATGTCTCCTATACACTGTCTAGTAAATAGGACTATACTGCCTGGAGGTGTTGATTGAAAACAAAACGTCAAGTTCACTAGTGTACAGCATGTTACAGTCTTACCCTTGTCTATGTTTTACCGAGTGGCGAGTAAATTATCTGATCACCCATATGTTCCTACTTAGTGTTAGCCAAATAGAATAAAGTTGTATTTATGAATAAGAAAGGAATTCATTCGCCACCAACAGGCCTTGATATGCATTAATCGAGAGACATCTTTTAATTAAACATGGATGTATTTTATGTGTTAATGTCATGCAGATGTTTCCAATGTTGTTAACCTGTTATGACTTATCGGTGGAGCTGTCGTGGTTTTATAGATAAGTTCGTAAAGTTAAACATTCTTTAAGTATCTCGACTTTACATAAAACAATAAAAGACTTTCATGAGGGGAATGATAGAGAGATGCAATATATGAACTAATATAAATAAATAAATAAATACATCAATAATTAAATAAACTGGTGTATACTGTACTGGATTATGAAGCCGACTACTGATCTTGGTCAAAGCCAACTCGCTGAGCATTA